CGTAGATATTCAAGTGATGTTTCATAGGAACATATAACATCACATTTTAAGTTGTATTAATGTAGTTGAAATATCTATGTAATTGCTTATGCTCATAACCGCTGTCATTCAGACAATATGGTAGAGATGTTTTAAAATAACATCAAAGTAATATTACCAAATAACATGAGAAGAAATGTAATTTCATAGCGATGTGGCTACAACATTGTAATATGATATTTAAAGAGCTAAATCTACTATAAAATTAAATAAAAAAAATCTTTTATCACACTAATTGTTCGTCGCCGGGATTCGATCTTACCTACCTAACTTATCCTAACTTATTAATGGGGGACGCCTAACCTACTGAACTATTACTAACTATTACTAACTTTTTACTATAGAACGAGAAAATAGGCATTTTAAATACTTGATATATTAATTATTGTATTCAATGTTGTTTAATGTAGGTTCATTTTTTATTTATATTAAAGATAAATCGTTATTCAATTAATAATAGGTAATATCGAAGGAAGAAATAGGTTGTTGAAGAATAAATAATAATATAATTATATAATTTATAATTTTTATGAACCACAAACACACATTAATTTATAGTATTGTAGTTTGTAATAATAAAACAAAACACATTTTTACAATTTTTGTTCTGGATTTAAAACTTTATTTTGAACATATTTTCAAAAATAATATAATACAATAGTTTTATACATCTTTTTAAATATTTAAAAAAAAAATAAATGTGTCAATTCCATTACAATAGCTTTACTTAAATTAATGGGAATAAGGAAAAATTTATTTTTTATATCGCTTATGTTTATAGAAAAACATTCTGAAAGATTCAAATTATCAACTATGTTTGAACCTAAAATTTAAAAATCAAGAGGGGTAAAATAAAACGGTGAACAGTTTGAAAATGATTGCACTATTAATTTAAGATAATTTTCATTATGATGTTTTAATATATATTTGACTTTAACAATAAAATTATTCCTTAAGCTTACATATTTATCATTTTTGTTTATAATATTTATTTTCATTCCTAAATCATTTAAAATAATTTCTTTGAAAAGCTTATCTGTTATGTTATAATGTACTGAAGGTGTGCGATTTTCTATTTCTTTTTTAATAATATAATATTGTGGTTCAAGAGATTTTGCTATAAACAATTTTTGTTTTTCAATAATCCTATTATAAATTTCTCTAAGAGGATATTTAGAACATTTTATTGATATATTCAATTCCTGTAAGTAATTTTCATACTTGAAACAACTGAAGTTGTCTAATGGACAATGTATTTTAACAAACATGGGAAGATGTAATAAACTGTGAACATTGTATGATATTAAATGATCTTCATATAACGTTGAATATTGAGAAATAAATTGTTTGAAAAATGTCTCAGCCAATTCATTATGAATTTGGCATGTAACATTATTAATTAATAGTTTAATACCAGCAACTAATAACATGAAATGTGTATAAAATGATTTTTTTTAATTTTCCTTTTAGGACTACTTGACCAGAGTAAAGTAAGAAAAACCTTAACTTCGTACACGAGACACACACGAGAGTTCATAGTTGCTAGTCAACCGAGGTCGTCACACGTCGTCTGATAACAATAACTATTGAAGGCGTAAAAACCCACAGAAAAAGTATATAAATATATATTTCTATAAAATAATTGTAGAATAACATCGCATTTGTGTTAATTTGTATTTGTGGCATCTGAGTAAATTTTAAACAGGTATACAATGTTTTTCAGTAACTTACGAGACACTATTACTAGACAGCCCACATAAATATTATTTAGGAATATTTTCTATGAAACACAAATTCAACATAGAGGCGATGTTATGTAACTTTTCTTGCACACTGGACGTGGTACTGTTTTTAACTTATAAAACCGAATGTCATATAAAAATAAAAGTACTGATAAAATACTAAGATTTTGTAAATATGTTCGGAAAAGTAAATAAGAATTGATTCTATTTAGCATTTATTAATCTAATTTTTTTTTAACTACCACGAAAAACGATTTTGCTGAATTTACATAAAATAATATGGGCTAACAACTCAAACGAATCAACTACAGGCCAAGTATGTCAATAAACACAAAACATTTAAAAATATGCTCTATTAAACTTAAAATTTTATTACGATTGTTATGAAACGGATTTGTATCTCACTCGGCAAGTTTTCCGATGTAGCAAAATAGACAAACGAATGCATGAATTTACGAACCCTGGTAATAACCATTTTGTTGTTGCTGCTTACTAATAGCATTAACTGTTAGAGATCTAAACAGTCACTATTAAGCATATATTCACTGCAATTTATAGTTTTAACTGCAAGTGTGTATACATAAAGTATAAAGATGATAATAAGTATAAAGTCAAATTAAATAATAAAATAAGAAATCAAGTATATTTTTAATTATAACATCAATAATTATATTATATAACAGAGACAATTAAATTGTGTACATATAATGCTTTATGTAACCTGCATCATAATTTTTATATTTATTCATTACACTCAAACATAAACTTCGATAGATTTTGATAGTTTATCGTTCGTTTTAACATTGTGAGATCACTCAAAAAAAAAAAAAAAAACTTGCCATCTTATGAAATATTACAAAATACATTCCAGTTTTTGAACTCAAGTTTTTTTTTTTTAAAGTTTTTATTGTATTTAACTGTATAATATAGTACTTACCAACTTGATAATATTAATAATTTTTTTTTTATAACAACTGACAACAAATTTTATTTGAATCACTTTAGGCATTTTTTTGTTTTTTTCGTAAACCATATAACAATATATTTTATTCACAGTTTTTAATACAAAAAATAAAATTATAATCACTTGGGTTTGATGAGAGCATAATTTTTATATTTGAAACAATAATTATTTTTTAATTTAACTTTGAATTAGTACAGTATATAAATTATAAGTACACTTGGTCTTTGTAGAACTTCAATTATAATAATTGATATTAATGGCTTATAATATTTAAATTTAAATTGAACAATTTTCATTCTATAATTATCAGCCTAAAAATTATAAGTTCCATATAAATCACGGAAATAAATACAAAGAAACACTTGGACCATGAACTTGGTAAATTCTTATTTTTCTGAGGATTTGGCCAACATGTCAGCGTCTTTGTAATTATTTTTACGTTTTAACGCTTCAAGGTCTCATAAAATCGAATGTTCATGTTTCAATGAATATGTTATTTATTATTGGCATTAACCTTAATCGTTTTTATTACAATGTAGTGGTAATTTGTTTTTTCATTTTCTCAATCGAAGATTGTATGTTAAAAATAAATCGCTATAATAATATAGTGAAGTAAACATGTAATACTATTAGTTTATTATTCGTGCCAATAAATTATACACAGTTGCAACTTTTGTTCGCAATATAAATTTAAAATTAGAAGTTAAAACTCATCGTTATCATTTTTCATATAGTTATGAGTGATTACAATTATACTTGCAAGACAAAACAACAAAATAAGTATGCATAAAAATTAATTGTACAAAATAATTTATTTAAATATTAAAAATGTTGAGAAAAAAAATTGAAATATTTAACACAACAGACATATATAAATTAATAAAATAAATACGAGAAAAGTAAAAATTACATTATTATAAATGTATATATAAATGATCGTTATTTCGATGTATTCAATTTTATCATCTTCTGAGCTTGAAAAGTGTGATGACCATTCCAATATATTCAGTTGATATTTAAAATTATACTCACATGGAATCATTTAACTAAAATATCATATACTAATAATGTACATCGTATAATATTTTTATGTACATTTTTTGTAGTAAATTAATAAACACAATACAATTAGATTATTTTTATTGGCTCTATCATGTCGACATGATTGTATGAGCGCTTTTACATTTTTAACATGTAAAAATAGAACAGATATTTAATAAAGTTGTATTATTAATTTAATTTTGTTTTTATTAAAAAAACAGCAAAATAATTAAAAACAAAACTTAATAGGAAAATGAATCAAAATATAAAGCATATAAATAAAGTATAAACAGAAACAGTTATAAATTAATGTAAGTAAAAACGTGGCAATATAAAATAATATTATTATATTGAATTAAATTTAGCATAACATTAAAAGAACAGCGTATGACCAGAAATATTTTAATAATAAATTTTAATATTTTAATTATACTTAATAATATTTGATATGATACTTTATTCTAAATGTACATTTCAATATATTAAACAGTGAGGCATTTCAAAATTAAATTAAAAATTACGTACTTAAATATAACGCGACGAATACCGAACATTTTCAATAATTTATTTTTTTGTCAAAATCGGTTATAACGGGCAATATTGTCTGATGTCTTGAGATCCATTATAACCAATTTAAAATGCATAAAAGTAGATTTATACGTTCATAATTTATTTAATGTATACTCAAAACAGATTACAACCGCACTTTTAATTTTAATTTTTAGTAAGTATTAAACGAGTACAATGCAAAGTACAGTAATATTAGTCACTCTTTTAAATTTCATAATTTTTGAAATATACCTACGTTATTTTTTGCTGACCTCGCAGTTTACAAAACTATTCAAAGCGTTAAAAAATATCAGCTTGGCGTCCAAGCATAAGTAATGCAAATGTTCGAAAATTGTTAAATTTGAGTGAAAAATAAAAATGAAAAAACACTGTTACTCCATAGAGTTGCCTGTGTGTACAGTAAAACGACGGACGGTGTGATTTTTGAAACCAGTCATAATTGGCAGTTTAATAAACCTTCATAAAGTGTTTTGTTATTCAATAAAATTGTTCACCACAAGTAGTGAAATAAACATCCCGTTTAAAAACATGCAACTTGATAAGGATGTAATATATTATATTACCTATTCACACGTCTAATAAGACATTTCCCCTCTTTTAATTATTACGTTAACGGTATTTAAACAAATAAAATATGTTTATAGATCGACTCGCGACTGAAACGGTTAGCTGGCCATTTACCAATCATTTAAATCGTAATCGACGACCAGCAACATTGACCGGTAGGTTAGCAGGAATTTTGCACTAGCACGTTTCCACTTAGAATTATTTGTTCAGTTGTCTAACGTTTAGCTAAGCATTGACAAGTGTTGTGTTTCCACAGCCGATGTGTATCTTGTAGCTGCGCAAAGGTTGCTATGGCTAACTGGTTTTTGGCTTCGTGTCTTCTAGTGACGTTTGTAATTGCTCACGGTTCGATAGTCCCTCGAGGTTACCGACTGGACCTGCATCCATATCCCGGCGACGGAGTGTTCAAAGGCAAGGTCCGCATTGATATCATTAACACCGGCAATAAGTCGGTCGACTCCATCACACTAGACGTTCACTCCACTCTTAATGTTGTCGATCGCGAGGTTAAAGTCACTCGTGTTGCGAATTTGGACTCGTCAGAAGAAGATGACGTTTCGATGGAAGAAACGTAAGTGTAACGAATATAGATACAATACGCGGACAATGCAGTGGTTAAAGTGGTAAAAATATTGATGAGTACTATAATCACTAAAAATTGATCGGCGTTTCCTTACTTCATTTTTTGGGTATTAGAGAATATTAAACATATTTTTGATATTATGAAATATTTGTTGTCTGTTAAAAATATCACATTTGTTCAATTCATAAATTTGGTTTTTATATCACAGAAAAAAAAAGAGCAGGATTAATAATTATTTAACAATATAATAACTTGACATAAATTTGTTGTTTTTATTAAATAAATTGTGATTTTTAATCCAAATTAATTTTCTCCAGGCTCTAAAAATCCTTAGGATGGCTCTGCCTATTTTGAGCATAAAGATATGTTTATAAGTGCAAAAAAAAATTCATACAACTATTAACAACATAAAACGAAAATTATACATTGTAATTACAATAGTATACATAATCAAATAATTAACATAATCGAGCATATTCCGAAGAAAATAGAATATTTCTTGGAATTCAGCATTTTTTGAGCATATTTAACCAGATATGAAGGGAATATTTATGGCATATTATGAGGTTTTTGTAGTGCATATATTTAACTTTAAAGAACCTAAAAATCCGCTGTCTAACTATAACTAAACAACTTACCTGATATATATTTTATTTTAACTTGTTTACACCATGACCATACCGCTAAAAACAGAATACGAAATACTTCCGTACAACCATTAAATTCTGTTATTTATCACTTCATTTTTAAAACAGCTATTATAATAATAAATAATGTGTTGGTGTGTTGAGTATTAGAGTGTCGGGTACGGAGAGGGTACCTATATTTATACCATATACGTGTTTACTGTTATCTACACGAGCGCCCCGGGAATGAGTATTTGTCTATTTTCGTATAAGTAGGTTAACCTATATATAAGTAGACATGGCGTCTGTTAACCCACAATTATGATAATATTATCTTGTGTTTATTTCTTACATATCGCATTTTATTATTTTATTATAAATATTTTTTCTTCAAAGTCTCAGCTTTTTTTCTTCTTTTTCATATTTATTATTCAATAATAAATTTCATATAATAATACATTTTGTACTTTATGTGATAATTACTAATACCATTGGGCATCCCTCCGGGCATCGGAGACTTAAATTAAAGGGGACGCATAATCTTACCTTAATAAGAAGAGAGACTTTGCCTCCTTCACCCCCTCCACTAGTACAATGGGACAATGCATAATTTTGTGGACACTTTGAACGAATGCCCTTCGATAATAAAACGATTTTATGTTGTAGTTCATTGACCGTTACGAAATTGGAAAAACGAAAAGACACACATAAGTTCCAGATTACGACTAAACAGAGTTTGAAAAAAGACATTACGTATCAAGTAGAAATTTTATTCGATGGAACTCTGGGAAGTGATACGTCCAGTCCGTTCTATCAGTCAACGTATTCTAACTCGAAACACTCGCAACAAAAAAAGTCGGCCGTCATTAATTCTTGAACACGGTTTTATCGATGTACTATATTTAAACAAACTTTTTTAGATGGTACGTGGCAATGAATTTAATGAAAGGAGGAGGAGCGCATTTCGTGTTTCCTTGTTTCGAAAAACCCAATCTAAAAACTTGGATCGAGTTATCAGTGGCACATAAGGGTGACTTCCATGTTCTGACAACTATGCCGTTAATCGACACGACAAATGTGTATGTTTATAATTTACATGTTTAGATCAGATAATGAATTAAAAACTAATTGTGGTTTAAAATGTACAGGACTTCGGAAGGTGTTTGGGTGCGGGATCATTTTTCTAGATCACCACCGATGTCTGTCAATTCTTTGGCGATGTTCCAGTCCGACTTCAAGCATCCTCCCATGAACGGTAATTTCGGACTAAACAAATCGTCGACATAAAAATATTCAACTCTATTACAATATCATCAAAACTGTGTTTGCAGATAACAACGGAGCTAAGGTTGGCGTATGGGGCAAAGAAGACATTCTAAGATCGTTGAACACAGCACAAAAAATGCTCCCGGCCGTTTTAGTGAACCTAGAACTGTACTTGTCTAGACCGTACCCACTACCCGAGTTGAACTTGGTTGCGCTTCCTGGTTATACCGACGATAAACCTATTGACGCCTGGGGACTGCAAATGTTTCGAGAAGTAGATCTTTCCAAGAAACGCGACGACTTCTGGGTAGCTCATCTCCTTGCCAAGTATACATCTTTGCAATGGACCGATCATCTTACAACGCCGCTGTTCCCGACATCTTTAACACTGGCTCTTTCGAAGTTCTTGGCCGACAAGGTGGCGTGGCAGGTAAATACGTTCTAGTGCTTGTGATTATTTTCAAAATAACGGTTGAATTTTAAACGATTTCAGTTGGAAAAACCCGTGTTTAATTCGTATGTAAGTGACATGTATGGAATGTATTTGGAATACGATAAACCTGGTTTCAGAGAAATTAAATCACAAATGGAAGCTTTAAACGCGACGAAAAGTAAGCAATACTAGGCATATTTTAAGCGCACATTAACCGTTAAAAAAACCATGATTAATGTATTTAGTTCAATTTGTACTGGAAATGCTTGAACACATATTTGGACCTTACTCATTTCGACAAACAATCCAATACTTTATGTCCAGCAAGTACGTCTAAAAATCAATACCAATAATATATTCACATCAACACTGCTAACATTAACTAATAACTGTTCTTATATATTCATCGATTTCAAAATTAATTATTACTTTTTCTACCCAATAACTTTCTTCAAACATTTATCGGCGTCATTTGTAAAGTGTATTAATGGTATACGGTTTTTTATTCAAGGGAATACCACGCTTACTCCGAAACAGATTTCTGGAACAAATTATCAGACGGTGCATATCACGCAGGCGTATTAAAAAGAGTACGTTTTACACGGTTAATATTTCGCGTACACATTCAATTGATTTTGATAGTTGTTGATTTGACACGTTAAACATTTCAGAACGAAACTCCCGTTTCGATCGAACAGATCGTCAGACCGTGGTTGCAAGCTGATAGACTGCCGGTGGTCACGTTCCGGAGGAACTACGTTAACACTACCGTTCAAGTTATGCAGGTAACTGGCGCGTTCGCGAGCTATTACGATCGGACGACGCGCGCGTCTCGTCCAAAACCCGTAACAATACCCAGTGCTCGACTTGATGGTGGACGCAGGGGGATGGAGTACTCCTTCTAATTTTTAGGAATTTTAGCTTTAACTCCTTCTATTATTACGTAATGATTATAACGCTTAATAAGTTTTGGGGACGCAATTGAGCGAGCAGAGTCCTCCTTCTTTGATTTTGACAAGTCGAGCATTGTGTTAATACCGCGGTGTGATTGTAGGAACCGTTCGTGCTGAACGACGACGAGGATGACGTGTCGTTGCCCGCGAAGAATACCGCTAACTATTTGTGGTGGATCCCGAACATCGTGGTGTCCCAGAGCAATTTGACCGTGCAAGTGAAGAACATAACCTGGTTGAAACCGATAGCAAGCCAAGAGGTGGAAATGAAGCAATACAACTTCTCGAACAGTGAGTTCGTGCTGTTCAATCCGGGCAGTTTGGGTAAGTGCGGCAATAGCAATCATTTCGGGAACGGGACGGAGAAATTCGATAACGGTATAAAACGGTTTGGACGGTGTGTTTAACGGTGCGCCGTTTTTCCTAACGCAGGACCGTTCATAGTTAACTACGACCTAAAGAATTGGGAATTGATAGCGCAGTATCCAAAGCGGTTTCCGGTGAAAATCCGCCAACAACTTTTGCACGACTCGCTGACGTTGGCTCTGTCTGGTCGGTTGTGTTATGTGTACGCGTTCAACGTGAGCAAGCTTATCGAACAAGAACCGGAACCGGCCGTGTGGAAAACGTATTTCGGGCTGGCCACGAGGTTGCGTGCCAAGTTCCAAGGGACGCCGGTGGCGCCCAAGTACGATGTCAGTAAATATTTGAACGGAACGCGCGTGCCGCGGTGTACATTAAAGTAACCGATGTGATGCCAATATGCACTTGGGCTTATTTTTTTTTTCTTTTCATGTTGCTATCCGTTCGAAAACAGTTGTACTTGAAGAAAATGTTAAAGTCGGTGAACGCGGCGTTGGAGCAACCGGAACGCACCGAGTCCAGTTGGAAGTCGAACTTCCGCGCGGAGAACAAACGTCTGCTGTGCGAAACGGGACACGCGACCTGTCTGACCGAGGCCCGGGAGGTGCAGTCCAGGACGAACACGTCGAACCCCGACGAGGATAAACTGTACGTTGTTAGTGTAAGCCGTATACGAGATATGACTTGTTAACGCTTCTTTTCGCGGACACGCTCTCACATCATGTCTTCATATTGCCCCGTGGTTTGTAGGTTTTTAGAAAACTACCTGTGCATACTGCTTGGCTACGGGACGCTGGACGAGTGGGAGTTCGGGTTGCACAGGATCATGTACTACCCGAAGAACAAGTCTCAGACCGAAAGGTTGTTCATATTCAGATCGCTAGCGAGCTGTCCGAAAAACGAAACGAAATTCGTCAGGTAATATTTTCCATGACACGGGTCGCGCACCACGGAGCGACCCGAATATTATGCAAAAATGTGTTTTTCTTTATTTTTGTCGACCAGAATGTTGAACTTGACGTTGATGAGCGGAGATCATAAATTTAGCGAAGAAGACATGTTGACAATGTTGACCGTCATGAGCACAGTATCTTTGGGACACGAGACGATGTTCAAATTCATGATGAAGAACTTTGAATATCTAAGCACCAAGTAAAATATCGAATAATTACGCAGAAAAACACTGCGGGTACTGTTTGAAAATCGATACAGTTGTATGTTTAAATTGTCATTATCTGTTTAGATTAGAGAAAACCGTGTGGGAATATTTTATTAAGACTTCGTTCAGCAATTTCAGAACAGAAGAAGGGCTTAATAGGGTTTGTATTTGATTGTCAATATTTCGTTAAAAAAAAAAAAAAATCAAAAATGTAGAATTACATTTTTTCACTTCTATAGGCCATCGAGTTTTATCAAAAGAATAAACGACATTTCATTTCTGTGGACGATATTATAAAAACGGCGTTGGAAAAGGTTAAGATTCAGGTGGACTGGGTAAAAAAACACCTTACTCCGTTAGATGGTTGGCTCACGAATGCATTACAAGAACCGTGGAGACCTCATGAGTTCCAATTCAGAGATGTGCCTTCATTTGTTATTGGATAAATAATATAAAACATTAATTGCTACATAATAGGATTTGTATATTAATTAATTAATTAATTTCTTTATTAATTTTAAAACACATTAATTCACAAAATATTTAAAAACAAAATTATTTTATTGTATTACCATTTGAACGAAGCATTTTCGTTTACAATAGTAGCGGCTTCCAAACTGTTTACGAATTCATTGTATGATGTCTTCTTTGAAATTTGTACTGTTAGCTTGCCACAATGATTCTGTATGAAAAATAATTATACATTAAACGATAAACAATAAAGAAACGAAAGCATATTACACATGACATTCGTGAATTTTATTATTTTAAACGTACTTTCTCGAAATTAATACAGGAATCCAAAACGTCCGAATTGGATGGTCGAGCGATAATTGTATTAGCTGCAAGTTGCGTATTGTTAGGAATGAATTTTTTTAATGCTTTTAACTGGTTCATAAGTACGTCTATGGAACTATTTATTTCTTCCTGAAAACATTCGAATTTTAACGGTTACATTTAAATACAATAAAAAAAACATTTATGGAAAAAATATAAGTTATACAAATGTTTAACATGCGCTTTACCAAATGCGCATTGCTAGTCAGGTTATTCATGTTTTCTCATTTCATTGTTTTGTTATATGGATAAAACAAGAAAACATAATGTGGCCCACCGTGTACCACACATTTTTGTGCCGATATTACTTTTCGATATTATTTAAAATAAGGTACGCATTTACAACAAAAATACTTGAATCGTTAATTGTTCGCATGGCAATGAATTAGCCGGTATCGTACCTTTTTCTTGGAGTTTTCGCTCAATAGCTCGAAGTCGATATTGTCTAACAACTGCAACCGTTTCTTAATGTCGGATGGACAGCCGTCCAACAATAAAAGGTTAACGGTTTCTCCGAATCCTTCGATAATCTTCGCCAGTTCTACTGCAATTGTTCCGCCCCACGATTCACCGACAATCGTGTACGGTCCCTCCGACTGGATTTGTTTCAAAGGCTGCGAACAATGAGACGCGCGCGCATACCATTTTAAAACCAAAAAAACGTATGTTATGTCGAATAATAAGCATCGGCAACGTGTGTCATACCCATAGTAAGCCGAGCGCTGCGTTCTCGACGGAATCGACGTACGACGGGAATTTAGCGCAGAACACCGGGTGCATGATCTTTTTGGTAAATGGTTCTATCTGGGGAAGCCCTAGACCGGGAATGATGAACACCGGCAACAGGCCACCGTCGTTACCCGTGTTTGGGAGACCTTTGGACACGCATTTGTCGAATTGCGGATACTCCGGTAAGTCCACGCTGAGGCCAAGCAATTCGTCGACGGTCTGAGGTAAATACTCGGATAGTGTGTTTAGGTTTTCTGCGGGCGGAAAATATTACAAACACGTTTTTCACTTAAAAATGAAAAATAAAACATTATACACGTGTGCTATTATCGTCCATACCTTTGGGTTTTAACGAATCGCTGACGACGACCGTAACGGGTTTAGAGTCTTCTAAGGATTCTATTAGTTTGTTCATGTACTTCAGGATTATTTCCGGCTTACGGATTGACTTGTCGCACTGCAAATTGATACAATTGGAATTGGCGTTGTTCCTGGATTCACAAACTCCATCCGCGTCACTTTGTATGCATATGAAGTGTTTCAGATCCGGTAAAACATTTCTACATGCGCTGTCGATGTTTTTCAATTTGCTATCGCTCTAAACGTGATACGACGAATTAAAATAATTTTAATATATTTATGTACATATTGCCAAGGGTTAGCATTAACTTGTGAAAAAATTATGTTGTTATCGATTTTAATGGGTTCAAGGATAATTCTATATTTATAATTAAAGTAAAATCGCGTCGAGGGAAAAAAATAACAATCATAGTCACTGCGTTATAATATTAACTTCTACCTTACTGATTCAGGGATTTTTTTTTTTTTTGATTATTTATTCATTTAAATTGTATAAAAATCGTTCAGTTATTTAAGTACTAAACGTACCATTTCCACGCAGAATATTGCTTCGATTTTTGTATACGACGTGAATTCTCGTAATACATTTTCGCCGTTTCTGATGGTGTTAAACCTTTCAACCGAAGTCATAATAAACGAAACGTCACAATATTTTTGTATTAATGAATATATAATCTTTTGACTTCTCTTCATCACTGCAGCGGTTCCGCTAATGATAAATATCAATTTTTTGGCATCTTGTTCGAGTAACCAGTTGACAGTGTTAATCCATAAATTCGTCATAGACCCAATGATTACATATGATTTATCTTTTTTTACGAATCTGGGATCCAAGTTATTTGACTCAATTGGTATTATCCGTTTTTCCAAACTGTGGACACTTTGTTTAAATGTGAAATATAAATATCATTCCCAAGAAAATTTTTATAAATATCATACACTGAAACTGGTTGATCTTACTTTGTTGACGACGTACTAGTTATCGTTGCTTTGTCGTATAGTCGACAAACTGTTTTAGCTTTGATACCATTCTCGATAAGGTGCTTGAGATGATTTTTCATTTCAGCTGATGAATTCAGCACGTGCAACAAGTCATTAACACCGTATAACGTAACGTTATACAAAAACGAATACGTACCTATATATTTGTTATAACGATTATTACTGTACATTCTCTGACATTTATTTAAGTAAATTAAGTATTTTTATAGGGAATATATAGCATGATAACTAATTATACTCGTATATTAATTATATCAGATACGTTCACAATGAAGGGTTTTATGGGTTCAAACTCCTCCCACCCAAATGCAAAAAAATTATTAAATATATTTTTATAGGGTAAAATTGATATATAGATTATGTAAGCATGACAATTTATAACCCCCCCCCCCCCCCCAAAAAAATAAATTTTTTGCATACGCGCCTGAATTATAAAAAATAGATAATTCGATTTCGATTAAACAATTCTCACCGATTTGCGTGTGGACATCCACGTCTTGTGAACCAATGTGTATAAAGGCACCAAACTTATTAACACATTGAAACGACGCCCCAAGAAATTCTGTTGGTAAAGCATGGATAACTATGTCACATCCTTTCTCTTTTGTCTGACTCAACAGTTGTACTTCAAACTTGTTATTGTTGATATCAAGTATGTTGCCACTATTCAACTATATTAATATAAATTATTCAAAGTCCTTCAGCTAACGAAATTTTAGTGCTAAAGCGCTAATGCTATTTGATATATTCTATCAGTAATTACCTTTGGGAATATGCTTTTTAGAAATTCAGATTGTTCGTTATTATAGGTAGTCACGTAGATGTTACAATTAAATGACTGAGCTACTCTAACAAAAGCTTGACCGTCCAGTGAGCACGCGTCATGTATAAGAACGGAATCTCCAGTTTTAACACGTGCCTTGATAACCAAACAGTAGTAAGCCTGCAACATTATATATATGGACACATTTTCATGGAATACAATATTCAAAATAGATAAAATTGAATATTTACCATTGAATAAGCTAACGGGAATTTAGCTGCTTCTTGCAATGTAAATTCAGAGTTTACATACCATTTGAGAATATCGTCAATTTCAAATAACTTAGTCTTAATGTTAAATTTTGATAAGCCTATTACATTTCTTCCTTCGTTGTCTACACCTGAATATTGGGTACATACTTCTTCTGCCTATATCAAAAGCGAACAAATATTAAACAAAACGTATTATCCATATTAATTTTATTTAATCTTTGAATGTATTTTGAGTTTACCATAATATCAGTCTTGAACGATTCTATGTATTTGATTGTCAAATCGCTAAAAGTATAATGTATACATATTAAAAAAACCCAAAAGAAATTTTAATTTTAAATTTCTTTTTTATACTAACCTTCCATTATGAATGTATTTTTGTAGATCGATATCATCTAATCCTGTGGATGGTTTATCATTTAATGGAAGAATGTTATAATTACCCCAACTATTGTTTTTTAGTATATTTTGTCTTAATCCTTTAAATAATTGTTCTCTAAATAATGTTTTGGTCAAATCAAACGGTTGTGCACTGTCAAATTGTACAACGTACCTAAAATTAAAACTATACATAAATATTGTTCTTTAAATAAATAGATATTATGAGTATAATCATAGTACCTAAAACCAAGAGGAGATTTAATATTTTCAATTTCTTGTACAACTTGTAGACAGCTATCTGAATCAATTTTAATCAAAACTATTGGCGACATGTTACTAGTTAAAATTTTAAGACCTTGTTCTATATTATCTTTCCATGCACTGTTCTTAGTAGTTACTTCTAAAATTTTATTTGGTAATTTCATTGCTCGTGTTATGAGTCGATACATAGAACCGTTATGTTCGTATTGAATAACTGTGGTATAATTATCATCAATTATTAATTCCTTTATCAAAACAAATACTCTTCCCGCGCACATTTTAATCTCTTTATTTAATTTCTCATTTAAATGTTCAGTAACTAATAGCAATGTGTCATTTGATTCTAAATCTGTTATCTGAACATTTGAATGTTCTTGAACATCTGCCTAATGGACAAACAATGTAGCTTATAGTATTTTAATAAATATAAGATGAGTATTAGTTAACCTTTAAAAATGGTTGGACTTCAAAAACCTTTTGAAAAGGTTCTATGAATTTAGTATCATTGATTTTTAATTTTGTTCTCAATTTTGATGATGTTTGAAATGTATTTTTGACAAGTTGTAGACAAATGCTTAAAAACTGAGTGAAATTCTAGAAAAATGTACAAACAGTATGAATAAAATTATAGTATCTTCATCGTAAAAACAATAAAATTAATAAATTACATGAATTTTTGGATTAGACTGGTCTACAAATTGAACTTTTTGGATATTCAAATTTATAGGTGCTGGACATATTGTTGGGAATACGGAATTTTTTAGAATTTCAATCTCTACTCCGGGTCCTCTTACAACGTTAGTTCGGGTATCAAAAGTAATATAAACCATTGATCCGTGAGTAATTGTTTTAATCTTTTCTTTGTCAATGACTAAACTTCTGAACCAAGATGGAAGTAAAGGTAAATCATGGTATGATTGAACGTCAGAAAACATTTTTAATTGCATCATTGAATTCAGATTAATGTTAAAATCATTGTTCCAAATTATATTTGCCAATAAACCTAAAAACTTATAAACTATATAATAACGCAAGTATTTTGACTTTTTAGTATTATAACTAAGTATGCAAAAAACATCGAATACAATACCTTTATCATGAATAAGAATTTTTTGAATTGTGCTATATGGATTCGAAAAATATATATTATTTTCAGCGAATATTCTATAGACCTCATTATCTGGTATCCATTCATCTTCAATATTAACATCATAAGCTGTTGGGGGCTCCGGACTTATAAGATGATTTTTATCATCCATATATATTAACCCCGATATTAATACATTATCATTTTCAATTACTTCGAAATTACCGGTACCGATTTGAATGTGTGAATAAAAACCATTTGATTCTAAAACAATGTTTTTTTTATATTTTCTAAATGCTCTTAAAAAAATATGCATATACAAATTTTACGCGTTTATATTTTATTTTTTAAATATTTAGTGCATCTCATATAAAATTATAATATTATACGGTACATCGGAACTATAACCATCTTAAAATCATATTAGTATCAACATTTTAAAATATTATAAAAAAACACATTTAATATTAATTGTTTAATTAATATAATTAATTATTAATAATTTATTAAATAATCGTATCAAACAATGATAAATCCATTATTAACGATAGTAAATATAAACATTTATGGTATATTGTAAATTAAAGTTATAAAAGGTCTGTCACTTAAAATTGTTTATGTGAATATAGAAAATTTGGTGTGATTTTTTATACGCTAGAAACAATAGATTTTAGTTGTTTAAAACACATGTACAACATATATGATACACAAAATAAATAAATAATATTTTAAATTATAAAAAATAATTATATTATTATACTATAATATAGTTGTATTATACAGTACCATAGTGCTATAGTATTTTATTTTAAATAAATTACTTGTTATGTATGTAATTTTAAAAAATATTGTATTACCTTCTGCAGAAGAAATAAGGGGCGTATGAACAAAAACATTTTCAAATACCGCCTGACACTGTTTGCCTTGGAAAATTGACGGTTTTTTCTCTAATGTTCTCAACACTTCTGTCTAAATCAATAAAATTAATTGAATAAACCATTCAAAAATAAATTGTGGTTGACTTACGATGATAAATGATAGAGGCACTACGACTTCACCGTGGACTTTATGTCCTAAAAGATGTCTTGACGTTTTATCACGTAAACAAACTTCTTTATAATCTATTTTTGACTAAAATTATAAATAAAAACATTTAGTAAACTATAAGTTACTTCACCATAGAAAATAAACGCTTACAGAACCATAATGTGTATTGATTGGCCAAGTTTCTTCGTGATTCCAATATATGAGTGGGGTTATACTGGGAGTACCTCTAGATACAGGGAACTCCGGTAAAGGATAAATGGCACTTAGATCTAACTGAAGACCACTGGAATACAATTCACCGAGTGTTTTTAGAAAATATTTTAGGGGGCTTTCACTTCCTCGTTTAGAAACAGATAGAATTTTGCATGAACTATCCAAGCTAGATTTTAAGATCCCTTGAAATAGACCATGAGGAGCTATTTCTATGACTATAACATTTTTTGGTACTTTTTTACAAATTTCAGAAAAGTAAACTGTGCTTTTGAAATTATTTGCGTGATATTGACCAGAACTCCATTGGGCTAAATCACTATTCCAATTTTCCTCTGGTACAGAAGTCGACAACCATTTTGAAGATCGTTTTTTAGGATTCGGTACAGCCTAATAAAAATTGAATTCATTATTATTTCTAAAATATTTGACCATAAAACTAAATTTAAATTTACTTTATCAATAAACTTTTTAACAAATTCTGCTTGTTTTCTAACCATTCTTGAATGGTATGCAATACCATTTGAATTAACAGTTTTAACAAAAATATTTTGTTTTTTCAAAGTTTCCAAGTAAATTTCCATGTCTTCAGCTGGACCGCTTAGAGTCACGTTATTCTCAGAGTTGTGACATCCTATGTCAATAGAGGGTGGTAAATCTGGAATATTTTGATAATTTAATCCTGAAATAACCAAAATATTAACATTATTCTCCATACGCATTATACTTTATAAAGTTACACTTACCTACCGATGCCATTAGGCCTTTTTCTGGCATTAGAAATTCTGATACTTTTCCTCTAGAATATGCTGCCATTAGAGTTTCATACTTATTAAAACATCCATCAGCATACGAGCATCCATTTTCTCCCAAAGAATGACCAAACATACCATCAGGTCGAATACCAAGTTTAGTCAATAGATCCACAAACGCAATCTAAAAAACAGGGGTCACATTAAAAAAAATATATACCATCTTATGTTTTCGGATATTTAAAAGTTATATAATTTCAGTGTTTTATTATATTCAGTATAATATTTTAGCATAATTTATTTTATTCATTAACGTAATCGTATATTGAAACATTTGATATTTTCCGTTTTAAGTTATTATATTTTTAAACGTTATATTAATTTTTTGCTTTCTGTTTAATAAAGAATCTTTATTTTTCATTTTTTTAGTTTATTTTTTTTTTCATTTTTTCTGTTATAAAGTTATAAAGTTCCACTAAAATATAAATCAATTATAAAATATGGATATTTATTTTATTTTATTAAATATTAATATATTTTTAATTAGATCTCAGATATTTAATTTAGTTATGAGATATTTTTACTGTAACTCACGTGAATAGTAGCTATTGCTAAAAATGCAACCGTCGGTTTTTTTTTGAGAATTTCAGGATCTTTATTTGTGATGATGTCAACTATATCATAACCAATGGGTCTGAGATATTTATCACATTGTTTAACACTTTCCGCAAAACACGGTATTTCCATTAAATCTGATGCCATTCCAGGCCATTGTGATCCCATACCAGCAAAAACAAACCATACGGGACGATTCATTTCATTAATTTCCTACGGAATTCCAATGATCACGTATTGAATTAAATAACTAATAATTTAAAATGTACCTACTTGTAATCCAATTGATGGGGAAGATCCTGAGTTAACTATTGCATAACCTCGATGAAAATGGCCTACAATATTATCTTTAAAAACATTTTGAATAAGTCCAAGATATTCGTCATCTCTAGGTAATGATGTAACTCTATCTATTGCCTCAGAAATGCCTTTTTCTGTTCTAGATGACAAAAGAATCAATCTTTGACTAGGTCCTAGTTGAGAATATTCCTTGGTCTTTGGATTTTGCTTGAGTAAAACGTGACCAATAGATGATGGCATGCCTAGAGTAGTTGTCGCAATTATTGGTCCATCTAACTTTGTAGGTTCGGTTACCACCTGTTAGAAATTATTTAAATATTTAAATAATGAAGTTAAACTTATATTTTATAATTTTTACCTTCATCGTTTTATTTTTCAATGCTTCGATTTTATTATTCGGAGATTGAAAGTTGATATTAGGAGGAATAATACCAGAATCCAACGTGATTAATGCTTTAACTACTGATATCAAACTTGATGCTCCCTCCGTATGTCCTAAATTGCTTTTGATCGATCCGATCGGTAAAGGTGAGGTTCTTTGATTTTCACAGAAAATTTGAGATGATACATTAAGTTCTTTTTCTTCGTAATACTAAATTTAATTTATTTTTAGAATTATTAATTCACTGTATATGGTCAATTATTTATAAATACTTTGCAAGCCGATCCATCCGCTTCTAAATAAGAAACGCTTGCTGGTGATACTTTACAATTTTCATAGAATGATTTTAAGAACTCTCGAATGGAATCCTCAGAAGGTCGTATTAAATTGACTGCTTTTTCCATGCAGATTCTAGCATCAACGTGTACAATTGTACCGTAGGAACGTAATGCTTCTGTAGATCTTTGTAGGAGTAGTACAACAACTCCTTCACTTCGACCATATCCACTAGCTATAAATTAAATCTTGAAATTTGAATGGAAAATTAACGATGATATTTGCTTACCATTTTCATCAAATGATCTACATATGCCATCCACACTAAGTTTTTCTAATCCTATCCAATGTTTAGCCATATCTGGATGCCAAATGATATTGGTTACGCCGACCAATGCTGTCTCAACTCTGCCCTTTGCCACGTCATCAGCAGCTTGTTTTAAAATTTCTATACCACCGATCCAAGACGAATCAATTGTATAACTCGGTCCTTGTAAGTTGAGTAAATTTGAAACTCGGTTTGCCAAAAGAGCCCTGACGTGTGCAAGAAGCCAAAAAGGGGTTGTTAATTTATCATCACATCCAATTGCTTCGCTATCACTAACACATGAAGCGGTGTAGACAGATGACTTTGACCCATATAGATATTTCGGATTCAGTCCTTATCAGGGGATAAGATAAACAAAATAGGATTAATATTTTATATAACTACAGTTTTTTTTTTTTTTTTTTAATGCTAATTCTGAACTTAAAATACCTGCATCCATAATTGCTTCGTAAACTCTTTCTAATAAACATCTAGTCAAAGGATCCATTGCTTTTATGATTCGAGAATTAACCCCTATAAATGTGTCATCCAATTTCTGTGTCACGCTAATTTTTCCAGTTGCAGCAGGAACACCGGGCCAATCATCTATAGGCGAATTAAATTATAATTAAAATAAATATTATAAATTAATTAATTAAAATGTATAGGTTATATTTGTTTCTGTCAATATTATTATTAGTGTTACTGTATATTGTATATAGGTATAAAATTAACTAAATTAAATCATATATTTCAAGCTAATATACGAGTACCTATATACTAAATATTATATTATAGTAGTGAAGAGCAAGTCATTCTTTAACACTACTGATAAATTTAGTCTAAAAAATAATTCCACTTAAAAGAGTTGGATTAAAATTTTGTTTAACTCTTAGTTTAATCTCATATTTTTTTAGTATATTATTAGATTAAACATTCATATTTTGCGGTACTTCAAAAAAAGTTTTTTCAAGATTCAATAGTTTTTTCAATAAAAAGTGACAACATTTCAAAATGCTAGAGAAACATTTTCTACCTCATAAAATAACAGTTTTTATTTATTTTGACTTGATACTTACAAAATAATTTTATAGATATGTGACATAGATATTTTAGATTATACTTTTATAAGTTAATAATGTTTACTATTAGTTATTTATTAATTTTAAAAATTTAAAAATTAAAGAAATGTTTATAGGAATTTTCATCATTCTTTAATTTTTTTCGTAAAATTTTAGCTATTTAGTTATATTATATTTATTATATTTATTATAATTGTTTAAAGTCATATTTTTTTCATCTTAACACATTTCTTTAACTAATTTTTTTTACAATATACAACAAATCGAGTAAAATAGTAAATAAAAACTTTTTAAAAGCTTTACAAACCTTTTAATAAATACATAGTTCTTATTTGAACGATTTAATACTGAAATTGCTTAGAGTCTTGTGAAAAACTACATATATTAGTTTATTCTGGTAAAATAATAAGTGAGTACTACGAATATTTCATTAATAAGGTAAATTATTAAAAAACTTAACATTTTTTAAAATATATTTTATTTATATTACGAAAGTTTTTAAAGTTACTACTTTTTTATCGAAACAAAGATTAACATAGCATATATTTATAATATATGATACACTGACCTTTGCTCAGATGCGAAAATGTATCACTGCTTTTAATTTCAGACCATAACTCGGTCATAGTGTCGAAGCGACGGATCTCTATTCTATTCATATCTCTCAATATTTTAACATTTTAATAGTTTTAACCAATTTATATTTATATTATACTATGAATAAATAGTTCATTTTCATTATTAATATATCTGTATTTGATAATCTACATAAGGTATGTAGATTGCCAACTATAAAATTAAATAATAATAAATAGTAACTTAATTATATAACGTACATATATATATATATACTTTCGATTCATTCAGTGATCCGTCTCAACTCTTAATAGTCTTTTTTATATTTTTATTCCTATGCATTTTAGCTATTTTATTAAACCACAATAGAAGTTTACAATTAATTACAAGTCGCCTAGTCGGTAAATGTATTATTGTGGAAGCAATAACGTACTATCGGTGAGAAATAGGATTCAGTACTTTTATACTCTTTCTCACTCCGCATACTAAAAAAAAAAAAAAAAAAGGATAACTAAAGGAAAAAGGAAAACTATTTATTGATATAGATGTAGGCCGATTTATTGAGAAATTTAGATGGTGGTTAACAAAAGACAATAATCATTTTATATCCATTATACAATACTTAAACGTGGGTGAATTGTTACAGTATACGTTTCAAAGGTAATAATATCGTTTTTGTCCTGAAGATTAAACATAACAAATTTTCAGCTAATTCCAGACCTAATCGAATAAATTTACATAATTTATTTTAAACGATATTAACAATGGAGAATATTTTATCGTTGTATAAATTAATCACACTATTTTAAATGTATATTAATTTACATATTTATTAAATAGTTTTAACTACATAGACGATTTTATAGTTACATTAAACTTTAATGTCCAAAATATTTTCTGTTAATATTTATATTAATTAATAGCTATACATTTTTATTTGTGCAAAATGTAATAAACTATTCATTCATTTTTTATCGTATAATGTGTATTATATACATTAATTGAATAACTTAAATTGTATTAAAAATTAATGTTAAGTATTTAGAATAATTATATCATTGAACATTATATACAAATGAATTCAAATCATAAAAAAAGACTAATTTAAAAAATATTTATTACAAATATCTTATGGTTCATATAAATAGAATATATATTATGAAGTGTATAATAAGATTATATTTGAAAAAATATCATCATATGTTATTTTATAAAAAATCTATATTTTTATAAAAATAAAATAATACATTTAATTATTAAACGGTTATTTTGATGTATGTGAGGTTAGATTAAAATATAGGCGACAAAACCATTTATGAGAAATAATTGGTTTTTCTTTTTCGTGTGTACGGGACGATTTTCAAATTTACCAAATTTGACTACACACTGTATAATTTATTGATATCTTTTTAGGCTCATTCAGTATATTATATTTGATTTTTTTCTCAGTTAAAGTGCTTTAATTGTACTTTTGTAGCAATATTTTTTGTTTTCAATAAAACAAATTACGAGCACTATAACTATTACTATACTGCTTCCATAGATTTGGAAATAACTGTAGCAGCCAATATAGCAAATTTCTAATATATTGGTCCGGTTCTCAGTCATCTAAATGTACCATAAAATTATGTTTGATTAGTGCGTTGCGATACACATTCATAATTATTTTCGACAAATATGTTAGGCGTATGTGTAATAACAAATTTACGTGGTTTTATAGAAAAATAATTTACATAACTTGAAACATGTAATTAAATATCATATTCTACTATAAGTGTTTTTCGAAAAAAGAAACTTCATTCCTTATTATTATTATATATAAATATCAATGAGAATTTTTAATGAGAGCAGTAATAATAAGTTCCCAAACAAATATTACATAATATTACCAAGATATTCAGTTATACCGGTTTCCAGAGGCATATTTAGGGGAGGGGTGATTCGGGTGTTATAACACCCCCCCCCCATCGACCGTATTTTACGTATTTTATGGTATTTCACCAAATTGCAAACTTACAGTATAATTTGCCCTACACAAGTACTGGTCTATTAAATTTTAAAACCCCCTCTTTTTATGAATCCTGGATACGCCACTGCCGGTTTCCAGTTCTGTTAACTGCAAAGTGATATTTTTAAATATATTTTGCATGAATATTAAGTGCTATTAATGCAACAATGTTTTATGGAAATCTGTATTTATATTATAATTATTAAAATATACTCATGAAAAATATAATAATAATTTGTTTATGTAATGATCATTAGCATATTATACAACTTCCATAAAAATGTAATATCAATGAATAGAAAAATGATTATTTTTATATTGATATTGGCACTTAACCACAACTAAACACAACTCATGTGTTTATCTAGCTTAAAATTAATTTTATATAGATAAAATTCTGAATTCAAATGAACTTACCTTTATTCCACCTGCAATCATTTTCCGTTACCATATTCACTTTATTATTTAAATTTATCCTAAGGTGTTCCATGTTTTCCGACATGGGGAATTTTCCACCCACGCCGGAGATAACGACTTCAAAATTTTCTTCCTTGACCTCCATATTACGAGCCCTAACAAGTGAATTTTTAGAATATTTGTTCAAATTCTTATAAACGTAATCGATTGCACTACTTTACATGAGCTGGAACAACCGATGGACACGGTAGACCGAATTAAAAACGTAGACTACAACAAAAATTCGTAATTATTAGGTAGGACGTGTCTGATTATCAATACAATCGAATAAATTCATTACGATTGTTAGATGTTGATAGACGTCCGACAACATACGTTATTCTAAGTAGACCTTAATTTCATACCTGTACATGATGAACGATTGTCACCAAATTACATATTCGTTTAAAAGGTCAGGGACAAATGATAATTAGAACATATTATGACAGAATGTACCTACTGTACATTTTGAAAGAAAGAAAAACTCATAAACGATTAGAATTGTTCCTGAATTCGATAAATAATTAATTACTTTAATTATTTAAAACACGAATTGCTTGCCATAGAACTAAAAAGCATCTTACTATATTGTAGTTGTCATAATATTTAATAAAAATTTAAGGTTTTTACCGTACGTAACTTCAAAGGAAACTTGCTTATGTCGGGCAATCACTTCACTGCAGTCATGCAATAATTTTATCGATTACACTACATGTTATTTTCAAAACTATATGGGATTAAATGCTTTGTTTTTCCGTAGAAATTCAGTAAAACATCTTCTCTGTGTACTGATATCACACATGTATCCGAGGATTTACTATAATTTCCACGCGCCGCTCTCGGAATTAAAAAATTATAGTAAACGCTTCTTGTACTCGAGAATATTTGTTTTTGCCCCGTCCCGATCGTTCGGTTTAAGCCGCGTCATTTCGGAAACGCCGTGTTTTAAAACTATTTATTATTTATTATTTTTCTATTTACAATTGTCGTTTTTAAAGAGGGTCGCATCGTATTAAATATCCAATTCAAGGGAGGTGTGCGAAAGATCACGTCGAGCACATAACACACGAGGTGGGTCTCTCTCTCTCTCTCGCTCTCCCTCTCACTCACTCTCTCTCTTTCTCACTCTCTCTCTCTCTCTCTCGCCCTCTTTCTCTTTCCGTTTTACCGGTTGAGGTACGTAGGAACACCTATTATGCGTGTGCGTGTATGTGTGCACTAATGAATTAGCAAACACGCAATCGCCTTTAACAGGCGGTGGAAACGGGATAGACGAGTAGCGCCCTTTTAAAGTGCCCCCTCGGCCCGTTGCAACCGCAATACGAGGCTGTTATTATTACGATTATTACGATTATTATTATTATTACCGTGGTGGTTGTTATTACAACGGCTATTATTACGTGTCGTGATTAATCGCACCCGGACACACAGCAGCAGCGGCAGCAGCAGCGGCACACACCCCGACACCGCGAAGCCGGTGTGAATATAAACACGTTGAGGGTCACACCTGCGGTTCACCGCGTCTACTGCGCGCGTACCTGCGTCGGTTGATAATGTAACCAGCATCTAGCATCCGTCCCCGTACGTGCGTGATGCAGCCCGTTCCCGTCGCTGTGCACCAGACAATGGACCGAAGACCCCGGGAGTGTGCACTGCACGTGAACCGTGCGCGACGACGCTACCCTGTGTCAGTGGCGTGGTGACGAAATCCCGGACTCTGGCGCAACTATATAAAACCAACCCGCCCGCCCGTACAAGAAAAAATAATAGTGATTAACGCTGCGGCGTAAAACAAAAATACCGTTGGAAAAAATCTCGCCACGCGTCAACGTCAAACACAACAGCTGCTACGCCCCTGTGACCGTTCTCAAATAATTGTACGCTGCAGTGTTCGACTGCTGCCTTCGTGCACGGTGTACACTGTAGAGCGTTTCTGTGCGCATATGGCACGTACAGAAATATGCGTGTAAAACAATCCGTTGGGTTTCATTTCAATGCTATCGATTTTTAGATAAGTCGGAAAATCGGGTCACGCCGAACACGTACGCGCTATAATGCGATCGACCAACAGTATTTTATTGTTTTCGTTTAACATATTTTAGTCGAACGCGTCTTCGACCACCTACACATTGCACGGACGGTATTATGGGGTATTATCTACACTTGCATTTAATATATTTTTACGACGTATCGTATAACGCATGTACCGCGCGCGCGCATAAACGTATATTCATCCCTCCAGTCCCCGTCACCGGATCCCATGAACAGGAGAGGGGAGAGCAACGTCCCTCGCAGCGTGCGAAACCCTTCGTGGCGCGGCACGTCGGGTCCGAGCCGGGCAACGATGAGCGCACGCAATCGCGGGGGCGGAGCGCGACGGTTATACGGGGCACGCCCCCGGCGCGAGCTGGGCGCGGACGGAGCAATAACCGAACTCGAGCGGCGGCCGCGGACAAAAGGCCGCCGCTCTCGACCGGCCCGTGGAAAACAAACGTGTCGTAAACACCTGTTTTTACCTGTTCGCGGGTCCCTAATAACGCACCTCGTCCCGTCGACGTGCAGGGTTCTTTAAAACGCCTGTTAAGTGCCGATGACGGCCATGCGGCGTTGTTCAGCGGCGGCGGTCGCGGTGGTGGATGCGAAACACCTTTTCGACGAAACATCATCACTCGCCGCCGCGCACAAACCCTTTAAACCGAGTCCGCCGAACGCGTGTAACCTATTTCCGCACGTTTATTTCTACGTGTACAGAGCGGCCCCGCGCGGCGCTTTCATCGTTTGGAAACGTATATCCCACGTCTGAAGACGAACTGTTCCAGTTTTGGGATACGTTAAAAAAAATACGCGTGCAATCGAGTTACGGGTAGTTTAATAACGTCCGCGCTGTCGAAAGTTGCCGGGAAAACAGAGGCTAAAATATATGCTTTTTCGTACTGCATGCCTAAGGATATTGTCGTACTCCCCTTTCGAACGTTAACGGTGATGACTAACAAAGTTAAAATAGTTGGTGTTTTAGATTTTGTTGTTGATACATCTTGGAATTTTAAAATTACGTAAAATAATTTAATAAAAAAATTGTAAAATTCAAAACAAATACCATAATATAGAAAATAGTAGTACGGAATTAAAAAATGTGTTGTGGTTAACACATTTTTATTTCGTACTACACAAAGTGCGTCGTACTGCTCACGATGTTAGTCCCTGCGAGAAAAGAAATCTTATTGTATAATATTGCGTATGACGACGGTGAATTTAAAAGCGTTAAGGTGTGTTCGATTTTAAGAGATACGACATCATGTTATCATGCATTATTATATGCTATTATGCTCGTGTAACACGTATTTAACATATTTATAACAAAAATTTGTTGTTTTTACGCAATCTTTAATACTCTCCAGCACCTATAAAAATTGCAAGTATAATTATCATTTGTAATAATTGTAACAACAATTATTATTTGTATTTTGAAGCAATTTTTGGTTTTTGGTGCAACATTGCAACAGATCTCTCCATATTTTTACTGCAACGACTTCGTGTCCAGAGGTCTTACTGTTGCAGCTGGGCAACACTCGAAACATTTACTATAAATAACGCTTACACTAATGCGTAATAAGTAGGCTTAGAGATTTCTAGTATTTGTATATATATTTTTTTAAGTATCAATAAAATAGCAGAGTCAGATAGAAGTTCTGTTCTTGATGTAATCTAAATTCTAAATTTTATTTTGCACGTATTTTCATATTTTACAGTTTTTAATTATTGAAACATAATATTAGCAATATGTAACTTTTAATTGCTAGTATATAAAGATCATATTATATCATATATATTCATATTTCTTACTGTATACAACTTCTTTATTTATTTTTTGATTACCAGAAGATCTAACAAATAATGATCTAGTATTTTTTAAGTATGCACTACTCTTTTCGTCAATATGGAACGAAGGTCTTTGAAATATAAAATTTTTTTTCAAATAACCACAACAAATTTAAATTTAAAAACTGAAGAATATGTCTAATAGTACAGTGCAATTTTCAAGGCATAAAGTTAGAGAACATTTTCAATAATTTAAATTCATTGTAAACTAATTGATCTGTTTTTTATTATAGGCTCATAATCAAGCATAGAGTTTGATTAATAATTCTTAAATCAATCAGAATAGATTTTTTTTTACATAAATACCATTAACAATAATAAAGAAAATACAATAAAAATGTAGAGTGTATTTGAGTGCATATTTGGTTTTCTTTTAAAGCTAGAAGTCCCTAAGCCTAGTAATGAATATAACAATATATTTTATAAGGAATTACACGTTACGTGCGTATATCGAATAATTAATAAACCTTATAATTTGTTTGAATTAATAATGATGAGAAAATATTTTACCATTATAATTTTACCTAGAACAAGTCAATTAAATATTTGTAAAATAAACGATTTTTTAAATAGCTATATTGACTGTTTAATAAATAAAATAATATATATTTATAATTATAAATTATAATTTCTAACAGTTTTACTGTACCTATATTAAATGTATTTTTTATAGGTTTACACTTTCCAGTGCTGGAAGAAATTTTTTTTGGATGATCAACATTTGTTCAGAAACTAAGTACCTACAACTTTTGTTCATTATTAATTTTATTTAAATTATACAATGCTCAAGTTTTGTTAAGAACCGGAATGCTTTTACAGAAATGCAATCACTAACGTTTTCAAAGAAAATATAGGCAAAATATTATCTAACCAAAATTTAATCGGAATTTTTTAACATCCGATTATTTATTAATAACTTTTCAAGTTTTGAACTTAAAAATTAGAAATTAAATCGTAAAAAATACGATTTTACATTGCACATCGAAGCTAGTTTCATAATCTCACAATTTATTTAAAACTATTTCCATCTTTTGTACCATAATATGTATGGATATTTATAATATTGAGAATAATTTTCAAAAAATTATAATCTGGTAATTATAATGACTCATTAAAATATAAAATATGCAATAATATATTGGAAGCAAGTATGCCCCATACATCATGTTTAATTAAATGATACACCAATTACTTAATCAAACAATTAATTAACGATAATGTCAAACCGTTTTATTTATTTTAATTTACTTTAACAATAATAGTTATAAAAAAAACTATTACGTTCCAATATAATAAGATTTGTTGAATTCGTTGAAAATAAACGTATAATATCTCGAACACTCTGTATAAGCGGGGGTCGTCGATTGTTGTACTTGTGAACACTATCTCAGGGAAATAGGCGTTTTGAGAACATTTTCTGTATTAAACATGGCCCTTCAACGTGTGTGTGTGTGTGTATTTATGCGTGTGCAAATGGAATATTTACACACAGGCACACACACACATACACACACAGAAATGGATGACCGAGGAGAAGGATAGTGGCGGGGGGACAACAAAAGAGACGAAGAGCTTTTTGGTCGTGTATAACTGATTATTGGGCCTTAATGGAAACGGCCATTTGTCGAAAACGGTCTAAAACGGTTGCCCAGGAGACCACACCGCGTTGAGAACTTTTACAAGGTGTAAAAAGGACCTGTGCGAGCGGAGGTGGAAGGTGGTCTGTTGGTACAGCACAATGGGTGGAATAGATGCAGGGTTGAGGGATCGGGAGGAAACGCACAAAGGGTAGGCGGGAAAATGGCCAAAATGGATAAACGAGGGATAAACTTTAAAACCATTCAGTTTAACGCGATTCACTCTCACCACATTTTCGAGTTTCATTCCACTCACGGCTCGTTGGTCCTGGATTTTTATTACTTGCATCTCTTTCGTCCGCGATCAGAACGAATAAGGTCATCGAAGTCTATTAACATAATATATTCGTGTACTCGAAACACTGATTCTTCAAACAAACAATCTGTATAAATGTGATTTAAATCGTTGCATCGTTGATCTTTGTTCAGTTTCGGAAATCAGAAGGTAAGAATTTTGACGGAATATTTTATTTAGAATTGTTTTCTGTGAATTTCAGTGCTTAGACAAATATATTTTAAATTAAACAGACTCGTCATAAATTTAGCTATAGAAAAATATGTTACTATTTTGAAGAAGTCATGTACAATTACTTGTAATGTTTAAATGTATAAATGTGTATTGAATAATTATGATATCATCTTACTCATATCTAATTATAAATATTGGCTATAAATATTATTACAAATATTGGTTTTCGTACACTATTCATAAGATTGCATTTAATAGAAACAAAATGCTTTACAACTCTTTTTTGTAAGCTCCAAACAATATTCCCATATAGGCAGTTCATCTTTATTATCATTAAGTTTAATAGTAGATCTTGATTATTATAGAAATAATATTGTCAGTATTATATCATTTTATTATAAAAATTATTAATTAGTTTGTAACTGTAAATTTTAATATTTTTTATTTATTTATTTTGTAAACTTTTAAAAAAAGAAAAGTAGATAGTATAGAAAATTCCATAATAATACATTAAATAATAAATATAACGAATACTATTTATTTTAAAACCATTTTATAACAATTAATATTCATAAAATTCAATAAAATTTAACTATGAGGATTTTTAAGTTTGAACTATAGACTATTTAACTAAATTTAACTAACTATTTATCAATTTATTTTAGATTTCCGTTTATGTAAACAAGTTACTGATATATTTAGATTTACGAAAATTTCAAATTAAACCTGAAGGAGATAGTTCACATATTCGTAAGAACTCTTAAGTATATTGTTCGCATTTTTTCAGAGGTACTCATTTCTAGTCTAGTGATTGAATAATAAGCAATTATTGATGAATCGATTCACGCGTATCATAATAATATTTCAATTTTCCGTTTTTCGGATAAATTCTTGTCATCGTGTAGCGCAGTGCTGATGTCTCAGACCAGCCGGATCCACTACAGGTTCAATCGTCATATGGTATAAATACAGTGTCGTTTTAGAAAGATTTAAACACAACGCACTACTGTATAAAGACATAGATTTATCCAGGGCTTAAAATGGTAAAAAAAAAAAAAAAAACCGTAGAAGAACTATGATCCCAATACCTGTTGGAGCGTTCCGTGTACCTTTCTAAACAATTATTTAGTACCTATAGAATATAGATATAAAACAAATAATACATAATTAATATTGATACGAGTTATTAAAACCCTTATTCTCGGAGCTATCGGTCACAGTCGACTGTCAACGAAACGTGATAAAGAACAATTATATAATAAAACAATTTTTTTTTTTTTTTAATATTTAATGTAAACGTAAAACGAATTTTTAATTACAATTATTTTGACCAGAAAACTTCAACTTTTCGTATAAATGCCGGAGAAGGCGTTTATTAAGCACTTTGAGCGGTAAAACGACCGAGTCTCTTATCATCTCTCCTCCCATTTCGAACCCAAAACGTATTCGAAAATGGAAACACTGCGCGTACATTGAATTATTATTATCTACTTCGGAACAAGGGCGTATTTGAGTTGAGGCCATGGGGAGGGGAGGGCGAAACTATTTTTCTTCAATATAAACTTAAAAATACTTTGCAGTTCATGGCTCTGTTATAATGATAATATTTTATAATGATAGACTAGTAATTTATATTCTTAATTATTTATACATTACATTTTTTAAATAAATCAATGTATTATATTCAAAAAAAAATAAAAGCCATTGGGGGGTGAATGCCCCCTTCGCCCCCCCCCCATCAAATACGCCCTTGCTTCGGAAAGCTCCGGAAACCTATACTGCTCGTCAGAATAACAATCGCGTTGCACGTCTACGCGCTTTTACTGGTACGCATTTCACTATTTTAATTCCACGCGCGATAACACGTGCTGGCACCAGACGAACGTCGATTTCGCAATTATTATATTATACATAGACGAACATTATAATAACGGTAATTCTCGTAGCAGGATCAGGATAGATGGACACGTCCTCGGACTCGGATGAGCCACAGTCACCCGGTATCTACAGACAAATGGCGTATTCGGCCGCAGCTACGGCGACCGGTTACGACGACCCGACCATCAAGTCACCGTCGTCGCGGCACTCGGACTCGTCCGGCAGTGGCAGCGCCGCGGACGAGCCCTGCGCCAAGACCGGTCATCACAAGTTCTCCATAGACCGCATCCTGGGCCGGTTCAGTGGCGGCGACGCCGCTGCCACTGTCCACGACCAGTGCATCGACACGTTGCCGGACCCTGGGAAATCGCACCGAAACGAATTGACATTGGCCGGTGCAGGTGAGCGTACACATTAATAGTGCATGATAAATAATGCACTACGTAATATTATAATACCATGTTGGTCGCTGACGAATCTCGACGACCAGTGGTGAGTGACATGTCCAGTGGTGGAGAGAAGGATTGGTTGAAGGCGCTGTTTAGCCAACACCCCAAAAATTTCAGGAAATCTCAAATAATTAACTATCATACGATGATTCTATAACTAAAACGGATCGAAAAATGTGATTTAAATTTATGTGCATTTTCCGTCAACATATTGCCTACAAAATGTGTTCCGTATTCGGAAAAGAGAAACAATTCTGCTAAACGGTTCACCCGATACATATCCGCATCATTGTATGCTTGTTATAATTTATCAGTACGAACACCAAAAAAAGGTCAACTTGACCACGTCGGTTAGATCTTTGGATATTCAATGTAGTCATTGGTAGCTTATTATTCAGAAGAATTACTCAGAACCCGTATGCTACAACATTGGTTAACCGTATCCATTGGTTTGAAAGATAGTAATTGCACGTTGCATAAAGATATGGAATAACTTAGAATTAAATTAATTTTTTTTTTTAACTCGAGACAAATTGACAATGCCACAATTTCATTTTTTATAACTTTTAATTAATAATGAATACTTAAAAAAGTAAATCAAGCCATCGCGATATACTTTTGTTTTTTCCAAACGGTATAGTTCACATTGTTTCGTTTGGTACGCATCACGTTGAGATTTCTTAGAATTTTCCAACTGTCTAAAGTTTCAGGGATTCAGTGTATCGTCCTTAAAATATGTGCAAACTGTACCTTTTCGTTGCCCAATTGTACGCGCCCAACAAACATTTGAAACTATGAAATATATTTGAATAAAATGATAATGTATATATTTGTTGGAACATAAATTTATATAAAATATAAAAAGAAAAGATAAAAACAATTATTCTAACCATCACTTACTTTAGTTTTAAAATTAGTATTATAATATCGTTTTTTTTTTTTTACGCGTATGGAAAAATAATCTCCCATCCCTATGACCGTGGAAGTGATAGAACTGAGTTCTATCTGAAGAAACTATTTAAATCAATAGGAATTGGAAAAATAAGCTATATATTTGATTTATATCCGAAAAAAATCGGATACTTTAAAAATAAACACTTTTAGAAACCGTGTTAGAAAAACGAATTCCCAGTTACTCTGTATACGACATTTTTTGTTTCCAATGAGTTTTCATTGTAATTTACCAAAAAATTTAAATAACCAATTCGTCCTCAGTCGATATTCAAACGTGCTAATTTGATTTGAACCTAGTTCAATTTTTACAATGGGACATATTATAAATAGATACTATACAAATTAATTTTTAATTATACTTGTTGGACAAACAATTTTTTTTTATTTTTTTTATTGTTTAAACTTTTTTTTTACAATTAGCTTTGATAAGTAATGACTATACATAATGGCAATCGTTAATTCTTTAAACTCATATAAATATAAGACATTGTAAGTTAAATACAAACAGCTCAATATTATTCGTCTTATAGAGTAGAGAGGGTTATTGACTAATTTTTTACTAATCATTTATTACACAATCTTAACAAAGTTATATCTACGCTGTATTTCAATAATATTAGGTACATAAAAAAATATGCATATATCGTAACCTATTTAGTAGTACGTTGACTTCGAGAAGCCATTTAGTTCTTAACATGAAACTGGTAAGAATATTTGTCTATTTTATTTTCACGTTGATTATTAAAATTAAATTAGTTAAGTACCTATCAAATATTTATCGGGAGAAGAATGTGTTACTATTAAATGGTTAATTAATTTATATGGACTGGTATAAGACAATAATAACATTTGTACAGTTTAAACTTCATCCATTAAATTTTTTCTTTTTTTTTTTTTTTTTTGTAGACAGTATTACTGAACTGAATGGCCACAACTTTCCTTATTCGTCATTGCTGTACGGTGGGTGGTTTGCTGCTGCGGCTGCCGCAGCAGTGACAAACAAAACACCACCATCCCATTTATTTGGCCTCCAAGGTAAGCGAAACGTAACAAAGTCGAAAAGTTTATTTTGTACACTTTGAATGAAGAGTTTATATGCGTGAAAATGGTTTTAAATCGTTACGCATGTCGAAAACCTGCTAATCAATTATATAAGTAATTGATTGATCATATTTATAATTTTAAGAAATAATTTATATTTTATTATATTATTATGATATACATGTAATATATTATGTTATATTATATTAAAATCGTTACATTTGAGGTGAGACTGTAACCTGAATAGAAAATCGAAAGCAATATAATTATCATTTATGAAATCGAAAACAACTATCGGCACACTACAGTTTAAATTATTCGCAGAAAGTATAGAATTTTAAAATTAGTAAAGATTATTGTATTAATTTATCTCGACGCATTATTAGGTACATTCTTATTTGCTTATAAATATGTTTTAAATATTGATTTCTGTTTACTGTCGACAGCTGAGCGAAATAAACGTTTAGTACCTATACGGAAGAACATAAATATTGCATTCGCTTTACGAGAATAAATATAATTGAGACGGAATTGAGAGTACGCGAAGAAACGTGTGCGCATGATCTTCGACGAAAAGATATTAATTCAATTTTTTATACTTTTTTAATGCCACGAAACATGGGTGATATATTACACGAGGCTTACTCCAATACAGACACATTTAGATTAATGGTGAGAAAAAAAAAATGTTTTTATTTTTTTTATTTCTCGACATTTGGAATAGGTGATTCATTTGGGAAAAAAAAACCCTTTGAATTCTTCACACATTTCATTACCTTAATGATCGATGTATTGTAGGTAATGCTATATCAAGGCTATTAAGGCTATTTTAAGTGCTGTATTAATGTAGTACTATCTTCACCGTAGTGCCAGTCGACTAATTTCGATATTACTTACACACAATACACAATATGTACATTGTATACACAATAAGCTATGGTTTATACAGCAACCATATACATACATAATAATAGGTGCACTACAAATATAGTCTATATATTATACAAACCGATGTACAGTAAAATGTAAAAACGGCCTGCGTACGCGCACGACGAAGAGTCACCGACATTGACCCAAAGTCAGAGAGCGTCTCTAATTTACATTATGGTTTAATTTTTTTTTCATATATGCTTTTATGTGTACAACACAAAATACATTATGTATGCGTTACCGGGTCGACCAGGAAAATTGACCCATACATCCTTGGTAGTCACTAATGTTTTACGGTCGATCGACCGTCGCTAACGCCACGTGGAGGGTTGAAAATTATATATCCATATTATATTTGTACGTAAAAACTATTACGTTTGAATTCATCGGGTTTCTTCCACCTGTTCTCCGATGAGCGCCGGTATATACTAACGCCCATAGATTAATTAATGCTAATTTATCATCATCGTATTGTTGATAATATTGTTCACGATTTTAAAAAGCATACGAACGCGTCGTTATAACTACGAAACTATTTTATACCACTATTATTATAATACTCCTAACTTATATATTATATATAGGTAGTAGTGGTTCTCGATTTTATTTTAGGATCTTGATTCAAAATTAATCCTGAAAACCTATCGTGACACACATTTACAGGATAAAAAAGAAGATCTAACAAAACAAAATTTAGTAATTTCTTACTCATTACTTAATAAAATTATAATGAACTATATTAGTTTACAAAAGTATTTTTATTAAAAAGCCGTATATGTGAAGTATACACTTGTTTCCTGTTATACTTAATAGCAGCACCAACGTCGACGTAAATCTTAGGTAATTTAAAAGCAAAGAGTTCGATAATTGTAGCCTGTTTCGATGTTTTATGTTTTTGATGTTCACCATTACCAAAAATTCAACTTAACAAATGTATGAAGATGAGAAAAAGAAAAGTTTTAAAGATCTTTAAAACTACAGCTGAAAAAATTAAACATGTTTGTTCAACTAAACGATTACAATTCTGAAACGGATACACAACCCAGTGAATACATTAACACTTTTTCGTTCCTTCGAGAAAATAAAAATAAAAATTATCTTTCAATGAAATTAAATGTAAAGAAATTTGATTAATTATGTCATCAGCAACTTTTACACCATTTTTAATAGTGAAAGTTTGAAATGTTTCAAAGCAATCATAATTTCACTTTTTGAAGTGCTTTTGCCATAAAGCAAGTTTTCATATAACCTCTAATTTTCAACTAAAAAAACTTTTTGCAACCTATCTAAAATTGATTCTCGGCCCCCATAGTGTGAAAAACGCTGAATACATGTATAGTCGTCGTTGTCGAATTCGGTGAGACAGTTTGGTTAAAGTGACCGTGACTACGACTGAAAAATAATAACAGACGTAGTCGCGATCAGAAGTCATCGAGGTGCTTTCTTCAAAGCAATAGTGACTGCAGCAAAAGACTTTTGAACAAAAATTGCTAGAATCTTTTGTTTTGTTACAAAACCAAGACTACAAAATAAATTCGATCAATGTTTAAGTCGCAGCGACCGACTGGTGTCAACTACCGGAAAATTTAATTGATGGAATTACATTTGCCGAGAGTTACATTCCAATGTAGAACACCGGTTTAAAATTACCGGTCGCGATTCATAACTAAACTAGGAAAGTTTAATTCCATTAATACAGTAGAAACAATAGTGTCACGGTCGCGGTCGCTCTAGCTAAAACCGTACCTTCACTAGTGACTAATCACTCGGATGATTGTATCCAAGTAATCCTTTTATCTTACAAAAATCATAAAGAATAGCAAATGGAAAATGTCAATTTATTTTATTCGTTTTCATTTAAAACTAATTAAAAATGGTAAAAACTTTGTTTTTGACAATCTTGATCATCACAATGATTTTTTTTAAAAATTTGATTTAAGGATAAAAGTCTTTTGATCAAAATAACTATTATTTTCACTATCTATAAAGATTTATTTTTATTGGAATAAAATATTATGCGCTTTGATATTTTTAATATATTTGAAAAGCTTCAATAAAAAATAATAATAAAATGTTTAAAATTATACCTTAAAGTTCTTTGGTATTTGTAACTTTCTTTTTGTGGTACTTTTAAATGTTTATCTTATGATAACAATTATTTTTTCACTTGCAAAAGGATACAATATAAACTTAATTTCTCTATTTTTTTTATTTATATTTGCATATCGATATTGTTCTTAAAGGACTCTAAAAATGATACATATCAAATTTAAACTTGAATTTCAAAATTGTGTTCAAATTAGATTCAATCGATTTCACTCCAATTTGATTAGAAGTAAAAATCGTGTTTTTGAATCATTTTTTTTTTTCTCTAAGAAGCCCAAATTTTTCTTCAGTTTATAATTTTATAATATGTTAAATCTGAAAAAATATTTATTACTTATTATTCGAAATTTATTATTTATACTACGTGTCGTCACTGCAAGCGACATTGTTATACATACACTATAGCACCGTAATAACCAATTCATATTAATTTATAGTTGGCTTTGTATCCATCCTACTATAATGTTATACACAGCAGTTTTATAAATAATATAATATACATCTAATATACGTGCCCATGACCCTAATTATATTATTTAACTAATCTACCGGATGTAATAAAAGACTCAATAAAAACCAATACAACTCGTGGAAGCGCAGGAATATGCCGTATGAAAAATAAAAAGTAAAACGCATACACGTATATATAATACATGCGAGCAATTATCTATTATTATTGTATCTAATTTTACTTTTAAATTCCACTATTACGGTAAAATATCAAGATATTATTTATTGTTTATCATCGCGTTGTATTTCCAAACTACAAACTTAACAGTCTACGCTATATAGTGGTTTAAAAATGTACAGTACATTTATGTGCAGTATTTGCAATGCTTATAGATGATAGAGTAAAAATAATGTATAGTAGTGATAAATGTACACGAAATGTAAATACATATATTTAATTACTACGAATCAAGAATCTCTAGCAAGTTAACGTCATCGAAATAGATAAATAATACTCTATTGGATTTATCGAATTTTCAGCGATCAGCCGTTTTTTCAAGTATAAGTAAACGGTTTTAATGTTTATATTATAATTTGTTCGTTCCTTCGTTTCGCAGAAGATCACGAATACTATTCAATCAAAACTTATTCGAAAAATATAATTGTTATGTTAACTTTAATGGTCAGCCTTGCGGGACTATGCATCATAGTGTGTATTTTGTACGGTATTGTTACTGTTATTCACAATTATGTATGTGTACAGCTCCAAAAACGGTGGGCCGAAGATCCAGGAAACCTGGTTTGGATCGGAAACCTAGACAAGCGTACAGTGCAAAACAGTTGGAGAGATTGGAGGCCGAATTCAAAGTGAGTAAACGTAACTAAAGAAAATGATGATTTTTAGTTTTCACAAATCGTAGTTATAGAAACAGTGGCCCGTACCCACATACATTAAACAAATAAAATCAGCAGAAATATTTTGGACAATGCAATTGACTCATTCAACTATTTATGGTACTTATATTGAATACAGTTAATTCATAATATTAGTTTAAAAATTGTTTTCAACTAGGTGCTCTGCACACAGAGAAGAAACACAGTTCCTTAATATTACATAACGTTAATTGAAATAAAAGTAAAATATTGACTACCTATATACATCATCTTCGATCCAATTTTGGAGATCAGTATTTCAGAATATTAAGAAAAATGTCAAAATATACAGCTTGTAGATATATATAATTATATTGAGTGTCATTGAATCGATCTGTATAGATAAATAGTATGGTCGTAAGTTTCTTAGCCATTTAAAGTTGTTATACCAGATTAATGTTTCTTGATTTACAGCAAGTTTTCGTCAAAAATTTTGATTTGTAATTTTTAATTCTGGTTTTTATCTAATAAAAATTCTTTTCTCTCTCTCTCTCTCTCTCTCTCTCTCTCTCTCTCTCTCCTTCTCTCTTGGTATTTTTATGTAAAATTATATTTTTTAAATTAACCCATTCAAAAATTTTTTTAACTATATGTAATTAATTAATTCGAGATCATCACAAGCACGGCAGTTTATTAATTCATTAATAAAAAATTAACAATAAGTCACTTGAATACAAATGTTCTGATAAAAGAATCATAAACTGTTAGGATAATTAATCCTATATTAGGTATTTATAAATCATACAAAATGTAATTAAATTAACAGGTAGTTAATTTATTATTAAGTTTGAGATTAACGATAATGAGTTTAATATCTGATAAATAACCAAAAATGTTAAACATCTACTTTATATTATATTACAATGATTTATAGCTATTAAATTAACATCATTATAAATTATTTTATCAATAATGTTACCTAATGATTACCATTAATATTCGAGCAGTAAACAAAGCCGGTTTTTTTCGTACAGGTTCCAAATGATTTAATATTTTATAATTTTACATTTATTCAACTATTTAATAAAAGAAACCCCGTTACCTCGGTAAATATAATATCTCTATACCATCCTTTGTACTACAATACGCTTTTGTAGTATTACGAGTATGCACAACATTTTATACAAGACCGTTAATTATCGATATTAAATGTTGTTCGAATCCATAGGGTGAGTAACTTTTAAGTAATACGATTATTTTCCTTTACTAAAACAGAAAAATATGAATGTTTCAATAAACTAAATACAGACTTTTAAAAATTGATGTGTAACTTCATTCGTTGGCTATAATAATAATAATTGGTTAAATATTAGACTATCAAGGAGAATTTATTTTGGTTGGGCTCTATGTGCGGTAGGTAGGTTAGAAAAAATTTAAACAAGTTAATAAATGTGTACGAGGGTCGAAGAAGATAAAACAACGTTATTCGTGACTATGCGGACGACTTCATGACAATGTAATATAATGACGTACAGTGGCACGTTCAACGTAATCAGATGAGAGAAGAGAGGATGTAAATTGTAGTCAACTATAAAATAGATATATATGCAGTTATGTCTGATCAAAAGTAAATAATATGTTAAAAATATTGGACACAATTTGATTTTAGCAAATTTAAAAGTATAACAATAATAGTCTGCCTGACTATTGTGAAATGTGATTACGTTTTCGATATGGAAATTAAATTATTTATTCACATTCCGATTAGAGATTAATAAAAAAAATCCATCGTACGACAAGTTTTTCGCACGACAGATCGTAACACGCGTGGGGCCCCCGTACCATAAGCGTGTTCAGACTTTAGTGGTCAAGGTTAGGTTATGAGTTAGGTTATAATTATGAGTTTTTTTTTTTTTTTTTTTTAACATGAATAATAAAATACATTTAAAATTCAAAGAAAAAATCGTACATTGTACTAAAAATTTAGGTAGGTACTAAAGGTACTGTACTGTAAGTAATGAATACAGGTCCCAAAACTTTTTTTATCCTGGCACGGTTTTGTTAGAGGCGCATTCCGCCGGAGGGGCCGCTTCCCACCCGGCCCCTCCCGTAAACACGCCTATGCCCCGTACAATAGGTTTGATCGATTTAAAACCGTTCTCTTCTCGTCGATATCCAACAGCAGCGCAACCGTAATATCTAAATTTTTACGCGGGAGCCGTAACGAACAGATAAAAAATTAACACTTCAATCGTTTAACGTTCGATTCGAATATAACACGTGCGTTTGATTATCCGATACCTATGACATACACTCAAGTCGATTCTAAGTGGATCCAGTATTAGATTAAAAAAAAAAAAAAGAAACCACAAATATTAAGGATTCACCTGATTTAAATATTATCAACAATTTGACTTTTAAACGTTGAGCCTGAATTAAAGAAAAAATTTGAGTTGCCCCCCCCCCCCCTATAAGTAAGTCTAAATAGGCCACTGACCGTGATGCGCAAAAACACCATGGGTTGTACGCAACTTGTGGTACGCGATAAAAGTTGATAGTAACCAGGGAACGTGCGTAGGCACATCGCGTACCGCAAGTCCGTACGATCATTTGTGCCGCGGTGCTCCGATGTCGGGGTACGTTTGACGGCAACAAGTGCGAACTGTTGGTTTCGCGTTTTCGCAGACGGACAAATATTTGAGCGTGAGCAAGCGCATGGAACTGTCCAAAGCGCTGAACCTGACCGAGGTGCAGATCAAAACGTGGTTCCAGAACCGACGGACCAAGTGGAAGAAGCAGCTGGCGTCCAAGCTGAAGATCGCCCACCGGCACGGTTACTTCCAGCCTGTGCAGCACTACGCGTCATTATTCGCGCCGCACTGTTACTTCCCTGCGGCAGCCGCAGCGGCAGCGGCCGCGAGCGCCGCGTCCACCGCCGGTCCTGGTGCCGTCGTTCAAAACTTCGGTTGCGCGTTGCCACCTCCGCAGCCGACCAGGAACATGCCGTCGACGGCGGGGCGCGAGGCCGCCGAGCTCCAGGAGCAGGTCGAAACGGAACAGAGGAGATAGGATGGACGAGAGCCGACGACGTCATTGTTCCCCGGGATATGCGGTCGACGCGCGTCTGCCCTGCCACGTGCAGGTACAGCTGAAATCGTTCGCGGGCGTTATTATAGTGTTTAGTAGGTACCATGATAAACCCGTCATTATGTGTGTACGCTAGGGTGACCACACATCCCGTTCAATACGGGATCGTTCCTATATTATGATTGTAATGTCCCGATGTTCCGACAAAATACAAACGAAACTCTTTTCATCCCGTTTTTTCCGTATATTATTACATTGTATTTGTAAATGAGAAAAATTGTAAATTTCTGAAACAAATATAAAACACTTTTATACCAGAGAAAGATTGAAAAGTGTAAAAAAAGGATTATCAAATTCATGAATAATGAAGATAGCTGATGAAATATTTTTTTTATTTATAGCTAAAAAAAATAAATAAGTAATGATGTGTGACAATGTACCTACTGTTAAATACTTCAATAATATAAAGTAAATTATTTAATTGTAAGTAAAAAGCAGTCTTATAATTTTTAAAAATAAATGTATTAAATTTGTAGTTATCAAGATTATGTTTTGAAATGCAATTTTTTTTTTTTGGTGGGGGGAGGGGAGTAACAACTGTCCCGGTTTTTTCTTTCTGAAAATGGTCACCCTAGTGGTTGCGCTATTATGCTTACTCCCATCGGATCCGGCAGATCTTGTATGGTCAGTGACAGCTCGAAGTTGGTTTTTCAATGAAGCAGTTATGTATGGAGTACCCATTCCAAGTAATTGAACTCATAAATATTAAAATTAACGGATACCCGAACAAAATAATATATATTAATGTTTTATGTCAAATGTGAACAAATTATGTACGAAACTTTTCTATCGCACAACACTAACTACCCGCCACATTTTAGTCATGGAGCAGCTGCTTTAATAAAACCTGCATCACGCCACCACTGATCGTAGTACATAATGATGACGTTCATTTTTTATGAAACAATAAACAAACCATCTTCAACGACACAGGGGCGTCTTTTGTCGGATCCCGTTAGTATATAATATTATTGCAAATTACAATCTTCACAGTTATAACATTATGTTCACCGCTTTTTGTACATCACAGCTATGTAAAATAATAATTTAGAGAAAGAAACAACGGTTAGACAAATAAATAAGATACCTACACATTTTTAACATGTGAAACAAATCAAAGTACATTTTAATTTTTAACAGTGTGTGTTTTTAAATACGAGCAATGGAATACTTATTTTTTATTATGAATGTAATAATTATCATTTTTTTTTTTTTTTTTACGGCTATTGTTGCTAATAATTTTTACAACCCCAATGAACATCATTAAAAACGATTTCTACTGTATATTAAATCATATTTGTATAACTATGTACCTACTTTTGCTTGTAAATATTATTCAATTATACGTGTACACTTTGTATATTAGTCAATATAAAAATTAAATATTTTATCATAACATTCAGTGGTCGAAATGAGAAAAATTAAGTAGAGGAGCTCAGTCCAACGATTTAAAAACTGCGTTACACGTAAACAATTATTTGTCATAGGCTCGTGGAGGGATTCGGTACCCACACCCCTCTCCAACAACCTTACATATATTTCAAATACCACTTTTCAGCTACATAAATATTTAAATTCCAAATATTAATATGGATAATATTAATCACAAACCATACAATCAATGCCGGATTATGATCGTAACACTATATGAGGGGGCTATTACTTTTAGTGAGGCCCTTTTACAAAAAAAATTTCATATTTTTTTTCAAATTTAGTTATTTGTAATAAATATTAATTAAAATAAGTTTAGTTTATTTTTATATTGTTGAAAATTATAATAATATTTTATTTTTTTTAACATATTAATTTGATGCCATTTTATATGAAAAAAATATTGGCTGCTAATTGTGTCCCCTTTTAATCGCAGCCCAGGTCTATAGCCTTCTCAAACCCCACCCCCTTGATCTAACCCTGCATACAACGAATAAAGTATATACCAAATTATAACGGTATATACCAGACATAACTATTTATATTTTTCCTGAAATGACGACGCCTTCACTTATCAAAACCACCATATTCTTTTACATATCATGAAATCATATTTTATAAGAATATGATAACATATATTATCTAGTTGGTACGAAGATTGGGTTGTTTTACGAATTACCAATACTTTTCTTAATAATAACGAGCAATTAACGAAAAATAACCAAAAAAATAGCAACATTTATGGCACACCGATTAGGTCGGATGTAATTTTCAAGATTTTTTTGTAGAGTTATTTATAGAAAATTTAAATTTTCATATTTTCTTAGATTTTTTTTCGAAAATGTCTATAAAATAACTTTGGTTTGAGAAAAAGTCTTGAAAATTGAATAAAAAATTCTTCATACATAAATAATAATGTTTATGGAAAAAATTGTTTAAGTACCTACTTGAGTAGTTAATTTTAAAAAATAATAAAAATCAGCTACATTTTTGTAGTCAAAAATTCATAAAATTTTAAATTTTCATATGAATTTTAATTAGGTAGGTACAAGATTTTTTATTTGATATTCTTTGAAGACAAAAAAAAAATTATTTTTGGAACGTTGCAAAAGTGTTTTATAGACGATACAAAATGAAATCGGATATTTCATGGAATTTCTATGATATTAGGCATATAGTTAAGGGGGCTGGAGCAACCATTTTTTTTCATACTCAATGAGCGAAAGAAAATTAAACATACTTCTAGTAGCTCGATTTAAATTTTAAAAACTAAATTTAATTTGTATTTCTCTTTTCTAAGTTTGCTCGGAAGTAGATTCTTATATTTTTCATTTCATTCCTAATTAAAACTAAGTAAAAGTTTATTTTGAGAAAGATATTAACTTACTATGTATCATATTTTATTAACTAAAAATAAAATCGTAAATCTATTTCCGAGCAAATCTAGAAAATAGGCTAAAGAATACAATCATCTTTACAAAATTAATATAAGTCGATCGAAACAAGGTGAATTTTTATTTCTCTTTTGGTACTATTTGCATTAAATTACTGCCCTACAGCCGGAGCAAGTTTTTCTTCGTGTTCATTGACTTGTGCATTTGTGTATGGGCGTTAGAACATTTCTAAGAATTTTAGTACCTAGCCATAACATAAATATTAAATACTACCCGTATTTCGAACGCTTATCAATCAATGACAACTAATGACTACAGAAATGAAATAATAAAGTACTGTAATTATTACAATTATTGTAAAGTATAAAATATATCATAATAAGTAAATTTATGTAAGCACAAACCAAATAGAATTAGTTGTTTTCAACTATTCTGCCAGCTAGGTTTAATTTTTCTTGTCGGTTTTTTTTTTGAATTTTAAAATGAACGAAGACTGGTGTTTGGGTCAAAAAGCACGTCTCAGCTTTAAAAATTTTAAGGAGTTGTGTATAGGCAGCAATTATATACATTATCAATTTAGTGGCGTGAATGTGAAAATAAATAAGTGTGTGTTTAATTTTAATTATTTTAATCAATTTTGTAATTTTTATAAACACTTAACATTTTTGAAAAATCCAACATTTAAAGTTCAATCTTTCTTTTAAAAAATATGGTTCTACTACTACATTATCCAACATTATAAATATAAAATAACCCAACCGACTTATTATACTCAAAACAGTTTTTCTAGAGCAATGGTTCACTTATTGATTTCAGTTTAAAAATTCAATATAGCAAAATAATTTATCCATTACCCATAGTATCAACACTGATCATGGAGTCTCATCTAACCTATGAGTTTTGCACTTTTTTTTTTTCATATAAAATTTACTTTCATATACAAATTAAATACTTCACATGTTTCATATTTATAAGGTTTAACTGCAGTTTACTGAAGAATATACAACAAATTGTTCGTATACTAAAAATTAACAAAATATAAAACTTTAAAATATTTTAGTAGGATATCAACATTGCATTATACATATTGTGCTACGATAGAGAAACACAGAGAGCTGCAACAAATGAATCTATGGATTTATAACTCAAAAAAAAAAAAACATATCATACATATTGAATAAATATATAAATGATTGCTCTATAACAATTTTATTCTGCTATTCTAGCACAATAACAAAATCACTACAAAATATACATTTTCTTTTATTATGTTTGTAAAAATAATATGGCGAAATTCAGTATCATAAAATTGTGTACAATCTTAAAGGCATTTTTATGTAACTACTAGTGAAATAATTTCAGTGTAAAATATATAATAATTATAATAAAATATAATAAATGTTTAGCAATACAAAATCAAAATACGGTTATTCTATAATTTTTTTTTTTTAATTAGTTTTGCTAAATACTACTTAAATTTATATAAACTCAATAGTAAAAAATATATCATTTTTTTTAAAACAATGAAACAATTCGCACAAAAAAAAATTGTGCATTAAACAAGATAAAATTTATTTTTATATAATAAACTTGTTTAACTCAATTATATTAATAAATATAATTTTATGTTTAAATTCAAATTAATAAAATATTCACACACACGCACTAATAACTAAAGGCATATGAAAGGTCAACAATGGACCGTTACATAATTATATTTATATACAAATCGTTTTAACGATTAATGAGGAGAAAAACAATACAATATATAATTATAGTATGTAATAAAATACTTATGAAATAAGAGTCTAGGACCAAGTTCTAGGCAAAAACTCGTACTTATTTAGCCTTTTTGTGTACAACCCAACCGCCAGTGTATGTACGCGCAAAGTGACCAGTTCTGCGTAAGCGGCCTGCAAAATTAAAAAATAAACAATAAATTATAAAATAAAAAACATATAAATATATTTTCCAATAATAATTCAACCATCACCACAGGTATACATTTTTATTTTAATAGCAGCAACATTGAGTAGCAGCAACTCTACGGAATACATGGTTTCAAAAAGCATTATATATATGTATATATATTGACTATTCAAATCAAAGCATTAAAGGACTTACCAATAATGACGTACGATAAAATTGTATGGCTAATTGGATAGAACCAGGTTAGGACATATTAAGGAAATAAAAAACTAATTAATGTATTATTATTTAAAATTAAAAAAGCACATTTTCCCAATAAAGTATAAGTTTAAAATAAATCAATATTATACATCAGATTATTTATTCTTAAACTGTCAGTTGTTTTAAAATGTAAATTTAAGTTAAAAAATCAAGTCATCCTAGTTTCAAATTAATAATAATTTCAAGAGTATAAGAATTCTCAAAAATTTAAGAATAATGAAAAAAAATCCATCAGTACCATATAATAGTTTAGTATAAAATTAAATAACACAACAAAAGAAAATGTGCATTATGTGGGTGTTCTATTTCATTAAAATATTTTCTATGCATAACCAGTAAAAATATATATTTAAATAATAATTTGAAGGAGAAAGAAAGATGAAATCGTGTTTCATGAAAACATAAAGGCATGCAATGTTAAATAACAATATAAACCTACTTTTAAATTATTAATACATTTTACAAGTCATTAAATACCATTTAAAAACAATATAAAATGTTGTGAATATTTTTATTTAGAAAAATAACTAAATAGTTTGGAATTTCACCAACATCTTTAAATAAATATTAATATTTGATAGCTAAGTGTACAATTTAAGCAAAATTAAAGCAATTTTATAAGCATAAGCATAGATAAAGAAATCTATATATATATACAAAGAATTCTTATTTATTTTTTATATTATTGATATAAATATACCTAAATAGTGTACGCAGCCAAAATATGTAATTTATGCGGAGTTTGCGCCCACACGACTCTGGCGTACTGCAAAAGAGAAAAACACCAAAAACCAAATTCAGATTATGGTTTACACAAACATTTTGCAGCATTACCAATTACCAAAAGTTCAATGGCTATTGATAACACAAAATCTGAATGAAAGAACAATGTTAACACAATGCTTTCGTTCAGTCAACATGCTAAATTTAAATAAATATTATGAAAACAAAAAATTGTTAAATTAACACCATGCTTGTTATAAATGGTTAGAATACATAATTACTAAATGTTATTAATTGATAAAAATACCTTTTTAGTAATAATGTTTTCTTAAATACATTGATATTATATAATAAATATAAATATAATATGTGTACACTATCTAAAAATATAAAATTTAATTTTTCTTACAATAATACAATATAATTTTAAGTAACCAAAGAAATTATTCATATAGTATGAACAAAATGTTTAACCAATTATCAATAGATATTAAAATGCATAGTTTAGGGATTGATTAAATTAAACCAGCTCTAGAAATCAATGAATGATCATGAGATACAGTTTGATTTTTTTTAAATTGGCAATAGTTAAGAAAAATTAAAACTTATTAAATATGATCAGTATAATAATTTAAAGGTTAATTTGTTATATCACTCAAGAAACACGATTTCATTAAATATTAAAACGCAAATTGCAAAAGTATACATTATATAAGTTATGTCTAAACATTAAGAGCTGGTAATTTCATGCTATTCCATTTAAGTAGTAAAATTAAACAACAAAATGTCAAGACCTCAATAATGTGATCCACTGATCATTTATTTGATCAAGTTCTTGCGATGCTTCTGGGGTGTTTTTCTAAAAAACCTAAATTTCATTTTCAACGGCGTATCTTTCCTTACTGAAGGAAGAAAATAAACAAAAATTAAAAACATTAAACTAAAATCATCAATTAAAAATTAGAGAAATCATATGAAATCTTTAAAATTTTGTCACAATTTTGGTTTTGGCATACATTTAGTATTAAAGATAAGTATTAATGAAAATGAGCAAACATCATTCTTGTAAGTAAAAATTTAATATCAATTCAAAAATATAGGAGTAAATTCTTTAAAAGGTATAATCAATTTTTACTACCAAACTCATACTTATTACTTAGTATGTAAAGGATAATATGAAAAGTAAATATTGCAAGTATTACACAATATTATAAGAAAACATCAACATGAAATATAATTGGAAGAGATTTAAGATTCAGGTCAGCTGAATTTTAAATCTAAAATTATTTACATTATTAAAACACAAACTGAACAATGGAAACATACAGATTCTATTCAGTTGATACTATTTCAAAACTCAATTGATTATTGTGTATAGTTTTGGCCAATTTGAATTTAGCTTGAACGCCAAGGCGGCAGTCTGATGATTGGTAATATTTGATAAACGATTGCAAACAAAATCACAAATAAAACATAGAAATGAATATTTTATTTAACCCAAATTAGGTTTTATATTTTCATAGAAACCATGCAATTATTTATTTTATGGGAGTTTCAAGTTTAACAAAAACAAGTACATAGATAAAGGAAAAAGGAAACTTAATACAACATGAATGGACATCATACCTGGAAATAAGATGTCAACAACACATAAGCATCTACCGCGACTTAATACTAAGGCCAAATATTGATTGATTGAGACATATTACTATTACATTCTAATAAATATACGAGTAATTTATTAATTATTATTTCAGAGGCCCAGAATAAAATATTATTAATCAATACAATATAAGTAAGTACTTCAAATGAATCATGCCTAACCATTATATTTATAATAAATCAAAAATAATGATTATACATTTTTACATTAATATAACTATCAGAAGAAAAATGTTTGAAATGTTTAATTAAACATATTTTTGAACTTAATCAATTAAAATAATTAAATTATTTACAAAAGTATTCAAATTTTCTTTAACTATTAGTTATAGTATGTTGATTTTGAAGTTTTTAACTACAAAAAATTGTAAAATTTATGTAGTTTTAATTAAGCTTCTACTAATTATATTATGTACAACTTAAATAATTTATTAGGAAAAAATAAAAAATATTGTATTTTTTATAGTTGAAGCTGGACCTTTGAAATACAATTTAATTTAGTCCTAAATATCAATTAAATTATTTTAAAAAGTTGTTATTTAATTATTTTTAAACAATAATAGTTATTATTTAATGGTTTGAAGTAAAATTCTAGAAAAAACTTACTCCTGTCAATATTGTGTTGTAAATGGGAAGCAATACGATGACGAGCATCATTATACTCCAAATGCAAACCAAGTCTTAGAATGGTTGGGTTTTGTTCAATCAATTTAGTAATTTCCATTTCAATTTTATTTCCCAATATTTGGGATCTCTGTAAATACAAATGTATTAATAAGAAAATTGAATTATAAAATCTTAAATTGTTAATAAATTTACCTGGTTGGTAGCACGGAACTCTTCTAGAGACCTCTGTTTCAATAAGGACTTAACTAAACGAACTATTCCAACAGGACTGATGAAATTTGTTTCCACACTACAAATAAACAATATCGATTAACGTTTTTGTTTATATATCTGTATAAAATCATAATTAAAAAATATACTTTTAACAATTAATCTTACTTGCAAACACGCAACGTACAATTTTTCTCTAATGCTTCAGATAGCTTACCAGCTAACCGATCAGTAAGTCCTACATTTACCAAACTCAATGTTTCTAAGTGAGTATTCTCTACTAAAGCATTAAATAGATTCTCAAACTTTTCATCGGAAATATTCTATAATAAAAAATTATTAAGCAATATTAATAACCATACTTATAATTATTAGTTGTATATAGTATCTCAATAATAAAGCATATTCTTACCTTAATGTTATTCCAATTTAAATCAAGTAACTTAGGATCATCATCACGTACTCGCTTAATACTTTCTTCAGGGTCTGTTTGGTTGGGGGGCTCTGGAGGATAAACCTTTGGTTGAGTAGATTTAGTAATACCGTCCCATCCTAAGCCAACTGGTTGACCTTTATTTAATAATGAAGCATGATACTGGTCTTGATTCATCATTGAATGGAATCCAAGTATAGCTAAAATCAATATTCATTTTAAAGTTTAAATGAAACAAAAAATTTTAATGAGATTTAACATTAACTCATACATATATTACAAGGATAATAATATACCAGAAAATTTTGTTCTACATTAAAAATTATACCCAATCAATGAATTGTTTGAGTACAATTAGATCTTATTATAGATATAAATAATATAATACATAGTATTTACCAGCTAAATCTATGATTTCTTCTTGTGATGCATTATTCAGTGCATCACCATACTCATCATCAAGATCAATAGCAATTTTATCTTCATGTTCACTTTTACCATTGGTTTCAGGTGCAACCCACTGTAATATAATTATTATAAAATAATCATAATTAATTTTTAAATATAATCAATAGTTTTATGCTATAAATAAATACACTAAGGTCATCAGAGAATAAAACAGTAGTTCATTTTATTTATATTACACAACAATTTCACAATATTTTCAAATAAACAGAAATACCGCTAAAAATATGAAGGATAAATGGATAATTTTTATTGGCAAATGGCCATAAACTATTTACATTCATAACTACAGTTAAATGTATTATTATCTCTTATATGATTACTGTCTTAACCATTAAGTTATTATTTAGTATAAACTGCCTTTAAAATATTTTTTAATATAAAGGTAATTATTTTGTAATAGTTTTTCTTATTTTTAAAATAGTAGAATAATTTAAATATGTTTTTAAATTAATCTGTGTATATGAATTAAGATTAAAATCAATTAATTGTCAAAAAATTACCATAGACCTTGTAGGTATTATTTATGTAATCAAATTATAGCATAATTAAACAAAAATTAACATTAGATTAGAAACAATATCAATTTCTGATAAAAATATTCATTTTAAATATCAAGACTTACAATTATTTAATTTTTCATTGATTTACAACTTTTTATTTTGTATTTTAATTTTTTTGTACAATCAGATAATCTTGTATGAATAGTAATTGTTAATACTGACTAATTATTCCTTAACTTTTTTGTACCTCATATCTCTAATATATTTATGAAAAACTTAAGTTGTAAGTATTGCCTAAATTATAATTATTAATATCCTAATTAGAACTTTACTGCTTTATTCATAATTTATGTATTATTATATCTTATTTTTTTTCCTCTGACAGTTCCAGGGACATATGGTTTATGTTCAGGTAGATCTGGGGTTTCAAGAGCTTGCTTGTTAATATGTTCAATTAATTTTTTCCTATTTAATGGTCCAGTGGCTTCTTTGTCACATTCATAACTACAACGCTCTGAAGGTGGTAATAAGTTATCCTAGAAAATAATTAATTTTTAATAATTTTTATTTACCTTAATTTATGATAACAAATAGGCATGTAATATATTTTCTGTTTATAATAAACTAAATAAACATATTTTCCTAAGAAACATCGTAAATGTTCAGTAGCATAAACTATTATTGGAGTCGAAAGAAAAATTGTTTAATAGTAAGTTTATACACAACGGTAGTATTAAGTATTATACATAGGCTTTAGTTTTTAGTTTCAACTACCCTTCAATTAGATTTCTTATTGACAACAAATGTATAACATACCTGATATTTTATAAATAGGTTTAGAATACTAGATTACCTACTCATAACAAATTCTTATTTCACATGTAATAATCACACTATGTGAACATTTTGTCCTTATAATATCACCATTGCTTAAATGATGTAAGTTATTTCTACTCATTAATAGTTTAGAAAAAATATATATTATTTTGTAAACAAAAATATAAATAATAATTTGTTCGGTTAAACAAAAACATAAAATATAATAATTGAAATTAAAACAGAACATGTTAGAATAATCTTTTGAATATTAAGTTACAAAAACTAGATATTTATTAAGTATTGAGTTGAATCGATTAGAAAACGGATGCTGATATCTTGTCGAGTATGGGCCGAAGTGGTTACCATCAACTGGTGGTCACAGGTGTCATCATACTGTGATATCGTAACTCAATCGTACAAATGTAAGTGAAGTCAAAAATTAATTTTAACGGGTAATGGTGTTGCTCAGGTATAGAATTAATAGGGTAGTACACTCACATCGGGATCGACTTCCTTGGACAAAATGCTTATCTCTTCCGGTGACAGTTGAGAAAGTAATTGATCGACGTCCAGATCGTCGTACTCGCTCAGATTCTTTCCGTAGAGCTTGGCCGGAGCAGTCGTCATGGTGGTGGTCTTCTTCGACGACGTCTGCAGAGAAGAACAACAGTATCGTTAGTTAAATAATTATTTACGCCGCAGTTGCGGACGTTGTCGCTGGAGAATCGGTAAAATGTAGATATTAAAATAATGAAATAGAACTGTCGGCCGAGAACACGGGGCTCGCCGAAAATCGACACGACGAACCGGACGGGACGGTAGGAGTGCGTGACGCGTAGAGAAGCCGTACGAGCCGACGGCGTCGGGGTCCCACCCTGTCGTGCGGAAAAAATCAATAGGTAAACGGGCAACGTTAACCGCGCGGATTTAACGGCCGCCGTCGGTTGTGAGTCCAACGGACGACCATGAGCCGCCCGTCGACGACGTGAACGCGATAAAACGATTGACTGACGGTCGACCTTTCCGTTACCTGTTGTTTGTCGTGCACGGTGGGATTTGTTTACGCTCACTTCGGCGGCGTTCGTCAACTGTAGCGATCGTACAGGAACCGGTGCATGCGAATGACGCGGCCTGCTGGAGTCGACTGGAGGAGAGACCGACGGCGACCGGACGACGGCGTCGGTGGCAGCGGTGGTGGCGGGGGAGAAGTAGGGAAATTGTTATCAAGTGACATCATTTCGCGTCCGGAGGTGGAGGGGGCACGGTGGCGGCGGCGGCAGTGGCGGTTGAACGCAATGCGTGCACAATACCGAAACCGGTGGAGATCGCGACCGCACGACGATAGTACACACCGACAGACGTGTGCTCGCCGCCGCGATTCCGTTGTAGCAGAACACAAGGCGTACGGCAGCCCGGGTACTGTTAACCTCGGTGTACCGCGCCCGATGCCCACACGTACCTACCGTGTGTGCCTATCACGTTATTATACGCACCGGTCGTTTCGCGAATCCGTCGGTCGGACGGCATAACGTTTGCCAGTGCTTGACTTGAGGGGAGGCGCGGGGGCGCGGAGTACCCCGACTAATTTTCAAAAATTTTGGCGTCCCCCTACTAATTATCACGTTATAATCATAACGCTTGACAAGTGTTTTGGGGACGCTATTCTTTCCAAAGTAAACAGAGCCCCCCTTCTTTGATTTTGCCAAGTCGAGCGCTGGATGTAACACACGCGGTGAAGTTCGAAAACCGCGTCGAACTGTAATACGGTTGCCGTAAAAGTTCGAGTACCGACCGGGGACACACGTTTTCCACAGTTAAATCGCAGCGGCAGAGTGTAATTATCAGTAAAATTTAACTGTCAACAAATACGGAAAATCGCTTAAAAACATAATTCATAATCTATGGTATTTCATTTACGCAGCCCTACGCTAGGTTAGAGACAGCAACGTACCATGTTACAGCGGCTTCGCTACAGATACGTCCGTTTTGTCGATCGATCGAAAAGCGGTTACAACTGGCCAACGCTATACTACACGTCGATCGGAAAAGGTCTAGAGTTTTTGTTTCCCCCAACAAAGTTCACCGTAGATACGCGCATAAACGTTAAGAGCAGTACGTACAACCAACTATAAATACGACCAAGCCTAAAATTGTGTAATTAACAGGAACTATGACGCACCAACAACTAGCACGTGTAGTACAAAAAGTAAAATGTGTGCAAAGAAATTTGAAAGTGCGTAATAAGATATTATCATTGATTCTAAATATAAGTATACAATGATCAATTCATTAGTCACAAAAACAGTTACATACTTGAACAAATTTTGGTTATTACTAAACATAATTAAAATGACATCATTTCTGTTCTATTATACGTTTAAATCAATTTATTGAAGGTATTGTCTCGTATTTAACTGCATATTACGCCACGTAAGCTACAAAAGTCTGTTTAAAATTTAATGCGAAGTAGAATGAATTACAAATTTTAGATTCAGCACTCAACCATTCAGATGCACTCAAGAAAGCACTACGTTTTACTACTTGTACGAAAAGATAATTGTTTTCTTTTTTTACTCTGCATAAACGGTGACACAATAAGCAGTTCGAGAATATTCGGTCACACCTATACACTATTATTTGCCCGAACACCGTATTGGTCAAATTCACAAGATAATTCACTCGTCCCCCCGCGATCACGTTCGCTATCGTATAGTTCCTATTTCTCACTGCTATAAAACAGGTAGCTCACCGCGCCTACGATTCGACGCGTTTATGAATTCATTGCGATGACGACCGGCTTACGAATCGTGGTAACAATGATTTACGATAATGTACCGTTAGTGGGGAACACACGGAGTCAGTCTACGTCAACATAAATGGATCGCTCGTATGTGATGACGTTCGCGGTGTTACGGAGGAAAATAATAAATAAATTAACTCTCAGAAAAGAGACTAATAATTCGGGTTAGCACCGACCGAAAAAGAAAAACAACATAAACTGTATTGCATAAATTTGACATAGTTTTCATGTGATAATATGTTCGATTTAAACAACGCGTATACAATTCCTATATTTACACAGTTTACGGTTTTGGTATACATAGAATTCATATCGTACAACAGAGTCTCAGAAAGTTCGGCAGTGGGGGGGCAGTGAGGGCAACTCATGAATTTGTCACAGTCTAAAGTTTAGCAATTTCAAAGTCGGCATATCATCAAAATATAAATATGTCTCTTGTAAATTACTAGCTTGTTGTAAATCAGAAAAATGAGACTTGTATTATGAGGGTACTGAAGTATAAAGTACAAATCATATTTTTGAACTGGTTTGACGTCCCCCTCCTCCGACGTTAATGAATAATTTGGTCCCTTAATTAACTATCCCTTAAAACTTGAGGCTCCGGTGTATTGCACCCCACCCCTTGCGTTAAACCCGACACTGCAGACCTTCTATTAAACAAAAATAACGAGTGAGGAGAGGGGGCAGTACTTCAAGTGTATGCCAATGTTTTAAGGATTTTTTGTTGTGTGAAATTATATGTGAATCGTACATATTATATAAATATAAACAAAATTGGTGATTCACATGAAAAAATCTTCCCACCGTCGCTCTTCTGTAAAAATAATTTATATAATTGTACATTTCCGTCGATCTGAGGTTAAATACATACACTAAGATAACGGAAATATGTAAGTGTTCACATTATACAAAGCTTTCATCTTCCTGTTTATAACATTATACATGATTTATACGTGTCTATATTGAATTTTCGTATGTAGTTGAAAATTAATTTTTTCAATTGAGATGTTTTAGCATTAAAGCAGATCACTCACCGTTGATGAATTGACGCACGAGTTCACTAGAACGGAACGAATCGATCAATAAATAATAATAATAGACAAGTTGAGCCTGTTACTTGTCGCAATTTTATGTGTAATAAGTTATTACTAATAACTATGTATATCCTCTAATGCAACAAGATGATTTTAAATGTTTGATAGAAGAAAAATTACTATATTAGAATACTTATAAACAATCATTATCATTAATAAATTAAACAGTGAATTTATCATATATTTTAAACTTTATTTGTATTATCCATAAATTAATTGATAAGAAACCACTGAAATTATATTCAATAATTTTGTATAACTTTTTACTCGGTTTTCGCGATTTCATTTTAAATTTATCTTCATTATTATTGAAATAGTTTACAAATAATATTAATACTGTTATCTAATTAACTTAATATTTGCTATCGTATTGTTTATATTATTAATTAAATACTTAAAAACCATTGTTAACTACATAAATTGTTCATACATTTAATTTTTATAACACAAACAATTCTTTTTAAAAAAATGTAATTTATCCGTCGACTATAAAAGTCGAAAGTCCTTCTATAAATGAAATAAAAATATAAAACTATGCTTATTTATACATAAATATTTTATTTACTCGTTAAAATTTCTCGTCGTATATACCTAGTAATAACAACATACATAACCATGCATTAATAGACGTTCAAGGTTTCAAGTATACATTTTTTCTTTCATCAAATCATTTTTTACGAAAGAACCAAGAAGTATACAGTTTATACAAAGTCTTGAGTTTGGTCCAATGTACGTCTTGTATATTAATTAGTTTGAAAAAATGTGTATATATATTATCTATGTGCCTAGTTATCATTAATATACAACTGTAAACTATGCTTCATTTAACTCCAAAGCTGTTCATATTACAAATTTAAAACAATTTGTATAAACGCCCAGTTTTAATGCATGTATCGTAAAGCGTAAATTACACCTCAAGTAAAAGAATCTAAATACATTTTTAATACTCAAGCAAATTATGGTTTAGGTGTATGTATATATATTGTATATAAAGGTTATAATAAAATGTTAAAAAAAAATTTAAATTGTAACTAAATTATACTAAAGTATTAATATTATACACATTTTTACAAAATATTTCAAACAAACGAGAAAACCAGTATCTATAATACTATTCGTGTTTTGTGTTTTGTTAGTTCGCTTTCCATTTTTTTAGTGTCAACAAGCAAATTTGCATAAAATTCATGAGAAAATATCAATAAACTATGGTAAAAAAAAACGGTGGTTTTTAACTCGTTTGTGGCGTATAACAGTATAGGTTGCTAACAAGGCAAAAATTCTATTTTAAAACCATAAAATTGTATAATAAAATGCTTAGGTATAAAAAATAATAATGAATAATACGGTTATATATATATAATATAGAATATATTTGATCAATAAATATCATTCTTAAAATATATAAATTACTACATTATATCGCATACACCATCCAAATAATCATGCATATAATTAATGCTGATAAAAGTTTAAAAAAACAAGGGTATACCAAGGTAAAATATAATCTAAACAAATCGTGATTATTTAAAACCATCAGGTAGCCTTAGGTATCTTTAACCAATACGTACATATATTTGTAACATGTAAATTATACATTAATGTTTCTAAATCAAATGTATTAATATTTTATTACGTATATTATATACAAACCCCAAATCAATATTTATCTTCAATTTACATAATTAGTAATATAATTTATTTAAAATTTGTCACGTGAATGGTTCCTTAAATATCATACAAAATTTACTTATATATTT